GATACCACATGCTTACCTCTCCCATGATATGTAGAGTAGTGTACGAGGACTGACCCATTCCCACGTGTAAAAGTTCCATTCAGTCAAGGGTACATCGCCAAGTACTTTTCCCAATGCCTGATTGTTCTGCATCAGACAAGTGCATAACTACATACTGCATGCGATTCTCGGACATGCTGTGGTATATTTACACCACAAAAATCCCGCTCTAAGCAGTCAGAACGCATGTCCACCCTTTAGTGCATACATTATCCGTGACAGTATCACATGCAAAATCAGGGGGATAATACTGTAACCTCCAAGTCTATGTAGAAAGACAACAAAGAGGACATCTACGTACATTTATCACTGCTCCCTCGGGATCTCCCGAACGTGTTTACAGGCATAAATGCAGTTCAAGAACAACAATGGGACCCTGAAGGTACCCAAACTACGGTTACCAACCGTGACCCGCTTGGGTTTCTCTCTGGGAGCAGAACGGCAACGGAGATCTGAAACGAGGTGCCTATTTTTTTTTTTTTTTGTTTATGTAAGCAAGCAGGCAGGAATGACTTGCATGTTCTGAAAACAAGGCTCATGTCTATGTCTCCTTACCTCCATGAGGGAGGGGAAACGGTAGCGTTAGAGGTTCAGACGACTTGGTTCTTACCGTTTGGGGATCTGATGATGTCGATTCAAAAGGGACCTGGAGGCAACAGGATCGGAAGAGACCTTCTAGGAAGGTATCTCAACATTCGATCGACAGGTACCAGCAAAAAAGGATCATCAACCGGTTAGACCCTTTGCCCATTTTAGACTACGCAAGACATCCCCCTCGGCTTCACCCGAGAGCAACGAGAGCAAAAGCTCCCAAAGGGTCCAGTCATGTCCTCGTCAGTACGTCATTGACAGCTCAAACCCTCTGTCGGCTCCCACGGAAATCCCAGTGTGTTACTCCGCGGTTGTAAAACACACTCCAGTGCGATATAGGGGTTTCGTCGACACCCGTGGCCATCTGAGATTAACGAGAGCAGCCTGAATACAAAAAAAAAAAAAAAAAAAAAAAAAAAAAAAAAAAAAAAAAAAAAAAAAAAAGCCCCAGGAATATAGGATTATGTGAGTGCCATCTCCAGTCGGGGGCTTAATGGTACCTACGCAGGTGGCTTGGTGTCCTAAGCAGCATGGAACAGCCGTGAGCGGGCACCTATCTCTCAACAATACTAGCTCATGGCCCTCATGTCTCCTCCATTCCAGAACTTTTTCTTAGTAATCTCTCTGCCACGATTCAGCCAGCTATCTTACCTGGCTACCTACCTATTGACGTCCATCTCGCCCTCGCAAGATCATCCTCCCCGTTTGAGTGACGTTCACGTGTGCACACAAGACATAAACATTACCTCTCAATATTTCCCTCATACCTCCCTCCATCTCAGCATTACATTCCGCTTCCCAATAGCGAACACAGCAAGATCACACAGAGTTAGGGACAGCTAAGATAGATAAAGGAAGCTCCAATCCTCCAACTCATCTAAAATCAAGTCATACGTATAATTAGCCAGATGCATGACGACTTATTGTCTAAACGTACGAGAGACACCAACCAGTCTTTCAAAACAAAACCGACTGACGTGTGGCGCCGACAGTGGAAGTTAGCCAAATAGAAAAAAAAAAAAGACAGCATGAAATCACTGAGGAGGTTGGGATGAATTTAAAACAAACACCAAATACACCTATGTACGGTGTCCCATCTAGTGCAGAGAGGTTGCAGTTTGTGAGGATCTATTTTTTTGATGCAGAGTTTGCATAGGGGTACCGCTAGCAGTCGACGTAAATCAGGTTGGATGAGACATGTGCTCAGATCAGATCCTCCGGGGTTTGTTTTGGTGGTCTTTGTACAAAGCAGGTACCCGGCTGGCTTCCAAAAAGTGATTCAACTATCCAATTCCAGGTTTGAAAACAGCTGGCGATGATGAGGTCTTTGTCATAGTCGACGGAACCAGTTTCTCCCTCGGTCTTGGATGAGGAACATGGCTTCCAAAACTGCTGGAAGCAAGAGGAGAGCCTTCGATGTGACTACGTGAATTGGTAAACCAGTGACTGACTGACCGACTGACTCCTTCAAAGGTAAAATACCTGACCATGGGCAAGTTTCTTGTTGAGCGGGCGGGGTAAAGCGTTTGGTACTCGAAATCCTTTCGGGGTGTAGGCGCCGTTCGTGAACTAGTGTATGCCTCGAGTATGTCAACCGCCAGCCCGATTCCACCGTCCATGACCTGCCCCAACTACATAGTACCCGTGTACCTACTTCCAACCTGAAGTCGAATCCAAAGAAGACAAAAAGGAAGCGGAACAACGTAAAAAGAAGTGTACGAGTTTCGCGGTATTGGAAGCAGCAAAAGAAAAACAAAGTCGATCCACCCAGGGGTCGAACCTGGAACCTCCTGATTCGTAGTCAGACGCTCTGCCATTGAGCCAGCGGACCTTGTTAAAATGAAGTGGACATCGACGACCCTATGATCCCTAGCTGCGAACTGGATCTAGAGTGTGGGCAAGTGGTTACCCTCTCGCCGGCACCTGATATGATAGTACAAAGTCCGTGAGTAACGGCACCCGTTGTTGTGTACCTGATGCTCAGATTCCATCGTTGAGAACAAAACGCATCTACAAAACAAAGGCGACAGCCAGCGCCTGATATATCAGCACGTTGTTGTACTCCCCAACCCACGGGGACATGATGAATGACATGACCGAAACGCCCTAACGCCACCGTAGCCCAGTGGAAGCCAAAACCCGAGTGCACCCCTGTGTGCACCGTGCACACCATACCTGGCTGGCCATCTTCCTCCTTCTAACTCCTCAGAGCTTCCAATCGGTTCCGCATCTGGTCCATCATAGCCTCGGTATCCTCTTCCTCGGGCTCCTCCTCTGCGTGCTGGGGTTGCTGTGGTAGTTTCTGGCCGGGTTCTGGCACACTAGGCAAGCCGCCCGTCTTCTCCATGCGATCCTTCAGTATCTCGCCCAGCACCTTGTCGACCTCGCCCTCGGCTTCCTCCTCTTCATCTTCCAGGTCCACGTCAACGGGCAACTGCTCGCCCACCATCTCCTCGATAATGCCGGCCTTCATCAGCTCAACACTGAGCTCCTGCATGGTGCCAGCCAGCTCCGGTAGGCGCACGAGCGTGTTGACGTCCTTCATGATCTTGACGCTGGCACGGATGCTGCCCTCGATCTTGCGCAGGGCGAAGGCCTCGTTGACCTGCATTTGCACGCTGTTGAGCTGGGCCTTGCTCGTGATCAGGCGAGCGGTCGTCTTGCGGGCGCGGATCAGCTCGCGGGCGAAGTCGCGCACTTCCTTTTCGGCCTGTTTACGTTGGGCGGGGTTGCGCTGTGCTCGTCGGTCGGCGGCCACAATGAGGTTTTTGGTCTTGGTCTCGACTTGCTTGACCTGGGCGATGTCACGGTCGATCTTGCGCATGTTGGAGCGGAGTAGGGTGTTGCATTTGCGCATCTGGATAGGCAAACACAGGGTATCAGTGACTGACGTCCTTGCTTCAAGACACCTTCCATTTCGTCAAGGTGGTGCTAACCTGTGCCTGGGGATCGGGCGGCGCGAAGAAGGACCTGAGTGTTTGCATCTTGGCGGCTGTCGTAGTAGAAGCCGGATTGACTGTTTCTCGTGCTTCTCTGATGATGTGATTGGTGTAGGTACAACTAATTGAACGATCCCCTCGTCAAAGAGTCGATAACATGAATGATGGTTTCTAGGTTGCTGATGGTGGCACACGGCGAAGGTGCCGTATGGTGGGTGATGAGGACTTGGTTAGGTAGGTAACTGAGGCGAAGTTGGTGTAGAGGCGGGTTGTGCCTGGAAACCACCTCCATGTCACCACTGTACTGTAATGTAGGTACCTAGGTTACGTCCTGACGTCGTGGACGGGCAACCCAACGGCCGGGGGTCTGGGTTGATAGTGTTAGCGCCTAGTGTAGACTGGAGGTATGTACCTACCTACACTACCTCTAGCGGGCATGTGAGGTGGAGGCCGCGTGAGCCTCACAGCCCAGCCCCAGACGGGACCTGAGGCAGGCGGGCAGGGAGTCTGCAGGTGGCTGCTCCTTCTCGCTTCCATTTCTGGACTGGACCTGTGGCTTGAGCTGCCCCTGGAGGGAACCACCCAACAGGCCCGCTATCCGCCCCGCGATGATGCTGCGGATTGGGACTGACAAGGAGTGTCCGAGTTTGTGGGAATAACCTTAGAGGTAGGTGTACACTGCACGAAAATGGAGGTCTACAGTACCTTTGTGACATTGTCCAGATATGAAATCTCCATGTCCTGCCATAAAGAGCCACATCTTGTACGACTGCTGGATAACACAGGCTCAACAGGGTAGCCGTCAATGTTGCTGTGATGCTTTGACCTCAGCCCCACCATTATAACCACAACCACATGCCCTGGCTCATCTGGCTGTAAGCCAAGGTCTTAGGAGGCAGTTGCATACTACCAGATACACAAGGCTCGGGATAATACACAGGTCGGTGTAAGCATAGTCGTTTGATTGCTCGTCTGCTGGCGTTTTCAGACGGAAGGAATCTTTTTTATTCTTTGCCTTGTGGGATATGTACAAGTTTCTAGAAAGCTCCCATGGTTTCGTCTACTGCTCGTCAGTTCTCCACTTGGAGGCCACAGCTGGAGCGGGCAGTTGGAGCAATTGGAGCAGTTGGAGCAACACAACTGAAGCTGGATGGAGCGTGGAAGCTCAGCCCTGCGTCAAGGCCCCGCGCGCCCGGGAATCTTCAGGCTTCTTACGAATTCTACCGTCACCCGGAGGGGACCCGGCGACTAAGTTGGAGACCCAAGGGACGACAAGGCAGGGCGTGAGTGCTAAATTGCTTGCAGCCTCACAGCCAACCCACCTCTTCCCGCATCCTCTCCTTCCAGCTTTCTTGTCCGTGACTACAAGACACAACGGCCTTTTTTTGACGACGACTCTAGTTGTGACGTACTCGTTGTGAATACTACCACTGCCAGTAACGATAACAACCACAACAACAACCAACAACAACTGCGCTTCTACCGCTGTATGCGCTTTACATCCAGGAGCTAGCTAGCTACCCTTCTCCAGCAACATCTTCGCACAAACACACACTTACACGACTATCATCACAAATGGCTTCCACTGTGACACCCGAGGGTGAGTCTGATTTTGATCATCCTCTCAAGATCGCATCGCATGCCTCTACCATGAGCTGCGGTTCCTGTCGCATTGTATATACGCAAGTTGCTGACAATGGATTCCAATCCTACAGTTCGCTGGGCCCAGCGCTCTTCTGCTACCGACCCCGAGAGCAACTTCATCTACCTCACCATTAGCGTTCCCGACGTCCCTACTTCCAACCTCAAGCTCGACCTTAAGCCCACTGGTCTCGTCTTCACCGGCCACTCCGACACCCTCAAGAAGACCTACCATGTCGAGCTCGAGTTCTACGCCGAGATTGACCCTGCTGCGAGCCAGGTCCACCACACGGCCCGTGATGTCGAGATGAAGCTCCGCAAGAAGGAGCTTGATGCTCATTACTGGCCCCGTCTCCTCAAGGAGCCCAAGAAGGTTCACTTCCTCAAGACCGACTTCGACAAGTGGGTTGATGAGGACGAGCAGCACGAGGCCGCTGAGGATGACTTCAGCAACTTTGGCGGTATGGGTGAGTACTAGTTCTTTAACCCTTGTTCCCCCACCCGCTTGTGACCTGATTCTGCTGCGCCACTCGTCGCATATCTCCCGAGCCAAAGCCCCTGTCCCATCCTTATTCAAACCGAAACTAAATATATCGTGTACCTACAGAAGGAATGCCTGGTATGGGTGGTATGGGTGGTATGGGTGGCATGGGTGGTATGGGTACGTACACTTCCAGCTGAACGGGGAGGGGCATATGGCACCGACCATACCCGAGACAACGCGGACACCTCCAAGAGTCATCTAGCGGCTGTGCGCTCTGCTATTGATACTGGCCAATATGCTAACTCGAATTCACACAGGTGGTGACTTCGGTGGTATCGACTTCTCCAAGCTGGGCGGTGCTGGTTTGCCCGGCGGCGACGATGAGGAAGACTCCGACGATGACATGCCTCCTCTCGAGGGCGAGGGCGAGGCTGATAAGGCCGAGGAGGCAAAGGATGTCAAGGAGACTGTCGACACGTCAAAGGAGGCTGCGTAAATACTCATAAAAGTAATAGGCATACCCAAGATCCATGGCAATGGGCTTTAATGTTTAGAACTGGGCATTGGGAATAACGACAGGATTTACTTACACATACCCTCCCATTCCCCAATGCTTCGGGGGTGGAATATTGACGCAGGCTGATTAGCTGGAACGGTTTTTATGGAGTCCTTTGATTTCGGTATCTAGCAGGATCTTGCAGCGAATGGAATCATGCTCATTTTTTGTCTAGGAAACCCTCGATCCCGAATTTGCACCATGTATGTGACAGTTGTGGGCTTGTATCTTCCCCAAGAACAAAGGCTTGCGTCTACCCCTTGTCGCCGAATGTCTGCTTATTATCGGCGGTTTCAGCTCGGTGTGTCCCTTCTCGTATCATCCTTTCCGTTTTTGCGGCGCTTCTGCGAAGCAGGTCTTGGGAAACCGGTGGAAGTTCAAAAGGTACATACTACTTGGTTGGCTCTCTGTTCAAGTCGAATGTCCGCCCTTCGCCATCGGTTCATTCTCGCTCCTCATTCCTTCACCACTACCGGAAACGGGATGCAGTGCTTTCGAGTGAGGCTGCGGATCCATCGCATCGGTACCCTATTGTCGTTCGTCTTTCAGAAGCAGCACGACGGGAATATCGCAAACCGTTATTGCGATGTCTTGCTCCCAACAAGATCAGTGGCTTATTTTCCGGTCGAGGGCATGACCTCCAGTCAGATACGGGTTCTTTGGATCAGTCCTACGGCGAGTGTCTCTCAAACGGGAGGTTTCATCTGCCTCCTCCCATCGCTGATGTTGCTTCTTTTCCGGCGATGAGGCACGCCGACATTGCTACCATGCCGCCCCGGTATCGTGCCGCTCGATGTTCAATGTTGATACCCCGGCGGTCGACACAGCTGCTGTTCCCTCATCCTGGAAGTCGTTCGAACAGTTTACCGCCAGGATCCTCAACCGTTACACTGATCTAGCCCCTTTTGAAGTAAGTTTCTGAACTTATCCATATTTCGTCACCCTACCTCCACACTACTCAACGCTCCTAGATGTAGCATCTGTGATGCCAAGCTGTGATGACCATCTAGTATGCGTTGGAATCGGGATAGGAATGATTAGAAAAAGGAAGGTCGTCAGGAACACTAAACGACATGATTCACACCCACAGAAAGCCATCTGATCCAAATGCTCCGGTGAACCCTCAAGCCACCACTACCGCTGTTGGGTGGAAGCGGTGGGCGATAGTGTTTACTCTCGTGTCGTTACTGTGCTTGCTGCTGGTTTCTCATCTCGCTTCTTACCAAATTAGCGCCTGTTCCTCTTGCATTCCAGCTTGTCTCGGACAAACCTGGGGCACTTGAACTCGAGATCTAGCAGCTTTGCGGTACTTACATAATATATTTGTTTACAGGCCTCCTCGTAGAAGTGAAATCGCAGACCGCATATAAAACTACTCGTTTCCTTTGACCAATCCATTCCCACTTTGCTTTTTTGAGATACACCCAATACCCGCCGTAGCTGGAACAGCTGCACTTTGAATATACAGACTGCGCTTGGACCTAGAGGAGAACAAGTTGCAACAACTTCTTCTTACTCATCCGAACCTAAAGACAACATACGGAAAGAAGTGGTGGACAACTGCAGGGGTGAATTGCATCATCGCTGAGAACGGACACAAGGTTAGTCGAACATCATCAATAAGTTATCAACTTTCTTAGTTTCACTTTTTCAACCATCACCGTGAAGCGTTGTGAGGGGCTCGAAGAGCTTAGTGTGGCTGTTTAGAGGAGATTCTTCTCATTGGACACTCAAAGGCACACACGAGAGTCACCATATTTTCCACTTGCCTTTGTTGAGATCCTATCTGCCAATATTGGTGTCATGTGTCTCACTTACTCCTGACAGCCTCGTATACGACTTTCTATAATATTCGTGTCCTCTGTTTTTGTCGTTCCCCTGTTCTTCCCGATTTTATCATCATTGTCACAATAATCATAATTCACACACTGTCCAACCAACGCCAAGTTACTTACACCATTTCACAGACCGAAGCCACACCCATCAAGTTACAACCTTCAACTCCAAGTGTCAACAACAAGTCACTCGATCTTCGCTCCTGTCATCTTCAAGACAAAACAAACAAGAATCCAAACCCAACAACCAAAACCAGGCACGAACAAACCCTAAGACCAGAGCAACCACATCCGCCCAGCTCCAAACATGGCCTCTACCACCACCTCCTCCCGACGCAGCTCATCCTCCTCCAACTTCAGCACCACCACCAGCAGCAATTTCTCTCACTGTTCACACCCACACCATTCTTCGACGTCATCGCCTTACTCGAGCACCGCCTCCAGCTTCGCAGGTATAGGCCCTACCATCACCATCAATACCACCTCCAGCGCGGCCAGCAGCCGCTCTTCCTCCTCCCCATCGTCACCTTCATCAGCATCGGTTTCCTATACAGCTGGAGAGGCGGCGAGGGACGCACAGATGGGAGCATCTATCTTGGCTTGGCCGGCTGATGAGGAGTGGATTGCTCCAAAAATCTGAGAGCGTATGAGGGAGGTAGAATTGGTTGGCCGGAGGGGTATATCGTACATGTCGGAGAAAGGGCGTTCTGGTCATTCTCAGGACGACGGTGCTCATACAAAGTAAAACGGACATAGGAACGGAAGTGGGGAGGGAATAACACAGTCACAGGGGAAATGTGATATAAAGGAGCTTACTTGGGAATGGCAAATATTGATTATGTGCTTGACAGTGCCTGCTAGACAGGTTACCAGTTGCCATTATCACGGTTTTCGACAGAGGATGCTTTGGGATCAAGCTCAACACATGGCCATATATACCTAGTTGCACGTAATGGAGCTTGTCAAGCCAACAACACCAAGTGGTTATTTCATTCCATGTAGCAAGAGCCTCGCAAACTTTCCCAGAGCGGATAGACTTGAACTGGTTCTGATGGCTCTCGTGACAGGTAGGTCGTGTAAATAGCGGGGGTAATACGGTAAGGGAAGGGTCGGGTATACTTATTATATTCAGTCATCGCTTTTTCCATCTCTACAACGTATTATTACCCCCATAATAATCGATGGCCAAATGCGAACGAACGACAAACCCTCATAGAACTTCCTCAACCTACATCATGGACCTCTAACAAATACACCATCATTCCCTACGTAGAAACCCTCGAGTGACGAGTGACCTGTATGTACCAGCCCGTCTGGACCCTCTTGGTCAACACCGCTCTGCAATTTCGGAATAAAGATGACGGGCATTAGAAGTAATTCAAGACCACCAAGCTAAGGCAGTATTGTACTTGACACCTTAACCCTATTCACGAACGGACTCGCGCAAGTCACCCACCCTTGGCGATTCCACCAAGAATGAACCGGCTATTTTACTGAGAGAGACAATAGCATCAACTGAATACTCGCAACTCTTGCTGCAAAACAATCCAGGTATTACTACAAACATTTGTATCCATCCTTGCGCTCTTGTCAAAACTGCCGCCCTTCATTTAGGGAGTATTTGAGCAACAACTCTAGGAAACCAATTTACAGCCCATGCGCATTTACTTCCACCGCCTCTTACGTCTCTGAGACCACCACCACCACCACCACCACTACCCTCCGGCACACCAACCAACTACAAACTAAGATGTGTACCAAACACTTTGTCGACTCCTACTGCACCTCCTGCGGCGAGCTCGTGCAAGGCCGATCGACAGAAAACCCTTGCAAACCAAAATACAGAGGAGAGCACTTGGGACACTGCGCGGCAGGCATCGAAAGCAATACTGTTACCGAAGCCGTGGTGTGCAAGAACTGCGAGAGGAAGCAGAGAAAGATGGAGAAGAAGAAGAAGGATAAGGGAAAGGAGAAGGACAAATAGCAGAAATGTGGTTGTGGTTCTATTGCCGTGTGAATGAGGAGGAACTACCGCTTGCTGAATCGCGAAGAAATGGCAGGAAAGGGTGCCCTCTTATCAGCACGTGGAGCATGATTTACGTTCGTGGCAGAATTTGGGGCATTATGACATCAACTTCAATCCGCCTTTTTCTGCCCAGAAGCGCCCGAGGTTCCTCGATCAACGCTGATCTAGCTGCTTGAGCGTCCTCTTCTTATCTGGGGATGCACAATTTACCCTCCGCAGATAGCTTTCTGTAAAATACAGAAAGGCAACGCCCTTCGCACGCTTAATTTAGTCGTGACTTGCGATGTGAGAAGGGCCACTGTGGATATTGCTCCCGCTTCGCTAACATGTATGCCCGTTACGCACCAACAATTCAGTAGCAGAGGCGAGCTATTTGTGTGAGATTATATTCATCGCCTTGGGGTACTGGGAGGGGCGGGAAACGCTCAATAGGCGACCAAAGGATGAGTAACAAAGTGCTGATAACAACACCAAATTGTGACCCCTGGCCCTTTGGCAGACGCGTCCTGCCGCAATCCATGTTCCATCAAAAGGCCCGTAAACGACAGGAGCGAGATGGTAGATCGCGGCGAACCGGTCGCAGATCATACAAGATTCGCTAACAGAATAGTAGCGGAGAGGCGATAATTGAAGGTCGTCGTGAGTCTGGAAAAAATTTCATCAAGCTGTTGACCTAAGCTGTAGACCCTGCCCGAACCCGAAATAAAATAGTAAAACAATCATAGACAATCCGAAATCCGTCAAACAAAATTGTCGCTGAAGCTGGCATTCGCTGTCATCGACTGTTGCTGTTCCTCATGCATACCCTTCGTTCAAAGAATCTCATCCTCCATGGGAGCATCACCACCGTTGGCAGCGGCCGGCGCGGCTCCGGTGGCGTTGTCAGTGGTGCCACTCTCGAAGTAGTCAGCCATCTCAGAATCCAATTCCTCGACAGTCTTCTTGGCAGGGCGGGCGCTACGAGGGCGACGGGGACCCTTCTTGCTGCCAGGCTTAGCAGCAGCAGCACCCTTGGGGGCGTTGGCGGCATGCTTGACAGTGGCGGCAGACTTGGGCTGGGCCTTGGGCTGTGTGATGCGCTGAGTCAGGCTCTTGGGCTGAGGGATCAACTCAGCATTGGAAACAACGACCTCGACCTAGGGGAACGTTAGAAAAGCCAGAACCAGAAGAACTATATGATGGAGAATGAGCGTACCTTGACCGGGCGGTTGTCGATCAGGAGACCGTTGAGAGTGTTGTACGCCTTGGTAGCACCATCGGCGTGGTGGAAGGTGATATGAGCAATACCGCGGCTAGTGCCTCCGGGCCCATACGAAAGTTCCACCCTCTTGACCTGTCCAATAGCTTGCTGAAAGTATTCCTATCACAGGGTAATTCGTGGTTAGCGTCGTGCGCCAGTTTCAGTGTGGTCGTGTTCGTAACGGTTCGGTTTCAAATCGGTCAAAGCTAGGGCATTGTCTCGAGCCGGCCCAAAACCAGGATATAGCCAGAGCAGCGCGCGTATTCTCCGGGTCAACAACACCAGCAACTGGCAGGTGAGCCTAAAATCCAACACTCACTAGAGCCATCCATACGATCCGATGCGTCCGGGCTCACAGCCCGTAAAGCAGTAGGACGTGTGAAGGAATCCAGTTATGCCAGACAATCCAAGCATGGTCCAGTTGATGTGATGCCGTCCTCTCGTAGAATTCCCCAACAACCACGATGCTAGACCCCGGTTCCCCGGAGTTGTAAATCCCCTGATGGACCAAACCCCCCCAGAAATCGTCCAACCAGGACATGAGATACAGAGCCTCGAACATTGCTCACTGTGTGGCGCGCTGGGGTGCAAAAATCGACTTCGAGGTGACCAGCCAGGAAGAGATGATGCATGACCCCCCAGCTAGGCTCAATACAAGATTTGTCTGCCGGATCCTGCACTGCTTGTCCTTTTCCGAACCAGAGGCGCTTGCCAGCCACCACAATGATAAGGAGGGGAGAGCGTGACTGCGATCTGCTCAACTCGCAACATGACGAAATGTATTGACACACGTCAGGGAGGAGCAATCAACGGCAATCTTGATGGCCTAGTGCCGATTTGCAATAAACGACCGTCCCGACCGCCCAGTGGAGAAAACGACGCCGATTGGATACGCCACGGAAGAGGGATGTCGATAAAAGTCCGAAGGCTAAATGGCCTCATCGGTAATAACATACCTTGATCTGGCCTTCGGAAACGTCCTTGGGCTGCGATGGGAGTTAGCGGTGAAGGATGCTACGCAGGAGAAAGGTGGAGGACGCGACTCACCAGGTTGCTGACGACAATCTTGCTCTCGCCGGTAAGACCAGCACTCTTCGCGGGCGCCGGCTTGGCAGCGTTGCGAGCGGGCTTTGTGTTCTTTTGGATACCGCCAGCGGGAGCAGCATTGGTGGGCTTACCGCCAGCCGAGCGGCGGCCTCCACGGCCGCGGGCGTTGGACTTACCGCGGCGCTGAGTGGAGAGAATCTCGTCGAGAGACTGGTCGAGCTTTCCGGACATTATGGCGGTGGGTTGCTGGAAAGTGATTTAGAAGTGGTGAGAGAGACGAGACGCGTGGTCAAGGTGGCTTCAGAGATTAGGAAGCGCGGACGGGCTCAAATGCGCAGTAGAGCTGGCGAAGGTCGCGTTGGGCAGAAGAATGATAGGGAGGTCAGGTTACGACTCGCTGGTAGCGCAAGGTCGCGTGAAGTCGAAGCGGAGCAAGAGTCGCGCTGCAACGGAAAAGGTGCAGCGACACTGTGATCTGATCGACTCGAATGGCAAGTGGAAATGGACGTGGTCAGGCTGACGAAGTTGGATGCAGTCCTGCGAGCAATGAAAAGAATATGGGTCTTGAGCGGATGGGCTTTATCGGTGATGGACTTTGGCTTTGGCGGTGATGGTAGGTTGTGTTGGGAAATAGGTGGTGTTGTTTGGGTGATAAAGTGGTGAATGGGCGAGAGAGGTGAACGAGGGGGGGGCGGAGGAGGGAGTAGAAACCGGTGTCCGCCCAGAATTTGAGGGAGAACCGACGGGGACCGGAGCCACCTCGCTGCGCTTCCTTTCGTCAAGGCCTGGCAGGCTGAGCATACTTGCGGCCACACGCGCCTGTCCTGAACAACATCCAACGTGACGGGATCCTTGCCGCACTGGCCACCCCACCGCTTTGGCTTCGCTCAGAAGGGGAAAGAACAGGCATGGCCAATCACAGCCTTGTGGCAATCGCTTTGGCTGATGGCACTCATTGGTACGCTAATCTCTTTGGGGCTAGACCCATCCCTCCTGACGCAGCTGGGCTGTTTTGTTATCGTACCGGTACCTGCGATGGCGGGATACCCAACTCTCCGAGACGTGTCACCACTTTCAGGGACCCTTTGGAGCTGTGTGTCCTTGTTTCCATGTTCTTATCCCACACACTCCAAGCTTGCTTCTTCAGGGACGTTTCAAGTTGCAATTGAGCTCTTTCACAAGCGGAAACAAAGAACGACCCCTTTGCACATAACAAAAAAAAAAAAAAAAAAAACTATATTACTACTACTGTAGTCAGTCATGCTACCCAGAGCGTTGGCACGTCTCTGCTGACTGGTGACATGATACACCATGATCCGAACAAAAACTGAAATCCAGTGCGAGAGTCTGCTCCTATGCATTGGGTCAACCATGGGGTATCAACCGACTCTGACCCATTCAATCCTCCTAGGCCCGAAACCTCGTCGCTTTCCTGCTTTGTCCCTGTATTCCTTTTGTGGTTCCGGGGTTTCCTTCCCTTGCATATCGGTTGCGCCTGGGACCTGCTCTGTCCTGCACTGAAGGAAGAGCATTCTGTAGGCTGTCTGTCTCCCGTCCTTTTCGGCCTCACCCCAACCAAATGTCCCAAGGGCGGGACAAGCCGTATCCTGCCGTTTGTGAAATATAGTCTCCGTCTTCGTACCGTACAATTTTGCGGACGCTGTGTCCTATTTTGCCTTGGTCGGGGCCGATGCCACCTTTGTTGCCTTCTTCTCCTGGACAACATCGGTTTCGAGATCTTCGGCATTGGTTTCGAGGAAGTGGTGGAGAACAATAAGAACCATGGCCGCGCACCCGAGAACGATGGCGAGACGGTAAAGTTCGGCGTCAGAAATCATTGTGTCGTTGGCGTAGGAAAAGTCTGTGTCGGGTATTTGTTCGGTGCCGTAACTGGTAGCTGTAGACTTGTTGCGACTCGCAATGCTTGGAGGGGAGTTCAAGTGGGTCCAAAGGGCGCTGTTCTGCTGCTCAAAAAGCTGTCAATCAGACGGCTGGACAGAGAAAAGAGAATGCCGTGCTCACTTTTTCTTGGTGATGCCAATCGCACTAGCTGTTCTGCACCGGGAGGACCGCAAATTCGAAAGTGATGATGCCGATTGTCGGGTGTTATGGACAGCTTTCCACCTTGAGGGCCGCGACGCAGCATCGATGTATCGGTACATCTCCATCCGTTCATTTACAAGAGGACCCGATAGTCACGTGGACGGACCCAAGCTGAAGGAAGGACCTCTTCTTTCGTTATACCGGCTGCGCTGCCCGGACCAACGTCAGGGCTTCTGTGGGCGGACACCCCAGCGCTTTAAATCCCGGGCGGCGTCAGTGGGCCCATTTGGTTAGAGTTGTTTCAACCCACCCACTTCGAATTGCCTCCAAGAAACTCTCCAGAGAGTTGATCGAGATCCCCGCCTTCGTCTGCAAATCTTTTGAAGGTCGCTGCGACAACACGCTCTATTTACGACCTACGCGCTGCCACCACCCCAGCTGCGACAGCAACTCGATATAACATACATACGTGATCCATTAACTTGCGCATCACGACACACACACACACAAACTCTACTCTCTGGTCCCCGATCGCGACATTTGCCCACCATGCCTCCCAAGAAGCAGGATCCGAAGGCCGCCGCCGGCAAGAAGAAGGCTGTCGAAGACAAGACCTTCGGCATGAAGAACAAGAAGGGCTCTGCCGCCCAGAAACAGATTGCCGCCCTGCAGGCCTCAATGAAGAATGGCGGAAACGCTGAGCAGAAGCGCAAGGAAGCCGAGAAGGCCGCCCGTGAGCGCGAGAAGAAGGCGGCTGAGGATGCCAAGAGGGAGGCCGATCTGCTTCTCAACAAGCCCGCCCAGATCCAAAAGGTTCCCTTTGGTGTCGACCCCAAGACCGTTGTCTGCATTTTCTTCAAGAAGGGCAACTGCGAAAAGGGCAAGAAGTGCAAGTTTTCCCACGACCTGGAGCAAGAGCGCAAGGTTGAAAAGAGGAATCTGTACCAGGATACACGAGCAGAGGAGGACGACAAGAAGAAGCAAGAGACCTCGGCGGACTGGGACGAAGAAAAGCTGCGCTCCGTCGTCTTGTCTAAGAAGGGCAACCAGCGCACCACCACCGACAAGGTGTGCAAGTTCTTTATCGAAGCGATCGAGGAGGGCAAGTACGGTTGGTTCTGGATTTGCCCGAATGGAGGAGACAAGTGCATGTATAAGCATGCTCTGCCGCCTGGGTAAGTTGGGGTTTTGCACCATCAGCTTCTTCTCATAACTAACACCATCTCTGTAGGTTCGTTCTCAAGACCAAGGAGCAAAGGGCGGCTGAGAAGGCGCTGCTGGACAAGTCGCCTCTCAGGACCCTTACTCTCGAAGAGTTCCTTGAGTCCGAGAGGCACAAGCTCACCGGCACTCTCACCCCCGTAACACCCGAGAGTTTCGCCAAATGGAAGAAGGAGCGTCTCGACAAGAAGGCTGCCGAGGAGGCCGCAAGGAAGGCGAAGGAAGCGACCGGTCGTGCCTTGTTCGAAAGTGGCAACTGGAGAATGGAGGCCGATATCGATTCCGACGACGAGGGGGACGACGACGCCTGGAACTTGGAGAGGCTGCGGAAGGAGACCGAGGCCCTCCAGATCAAGAAGGAGGAGGAACGATTGTCAGCCCTCCACGGTGTTCCTGTCACACTCGGCGAAGCGAAGGACGTCACCGGTCTCAGCGAGCCAACGCTTGGTACATGAGGGCGTATCAGCACACGAGGAGAAAATACCAGCGCCGCCGCTTCAGAAAGTTTGAGCCCATCCGAGAGTTTGGCACTTACTTGCGGCAGGGATCTGGCGCCAAGTTGATGAAGCTGTTCGAGTTGCTCGAGGCAGCTCGCTCAGAGGTTATCCGACATCTATATCACGATATATACACGAAGCTTCGAGGAGTGAAGCCGAGTTGCACCTCCACAAAGGAGTAGTGGGAAGAATGTCGTCAGGTTTCGGTTTGGAAGCTCTGGTCATGAACTAGTCTAGCTCACACACATAATCATAGGCATGCCCGGATCCAGCACTTCGTTCCAAACTTCTTTGCGTGTCTCACGTGTCTAGTCGCCTTCGCCACCAGCATTCATTTTATACACAGAGACGGACATAGGATACATGGGTTCATCAGGACATGTCAGTTGTTATCTCCTTCGATCCAGCAAGCCGTCCTTCTACCTGCACGTCCGTGGCCCAGCTTGTTCGTCGGTGGTTCGCGGCTAAAGATTTCTTATTCAGAATGGGTTCAGTGTGACGGGACTGCAGCACATGATAAGGAATTCGAGGCATTGGTCTAGCAGGCCGAGTTATTGATCCACGCATGGCTTGCAACTAATTTGTAGAACTACGGTGCGGCTGTCCGCAAAAGCACTCACCACGACGCTTACGCAGTGACGTGGAAGGTAGAGTTAAACCTAGAGCCACCCAAGTGTGGCCACATCGTCTTCAATGTGATGTTTGGGCAGCGAGCAGAAGCTTGTTGTGCATCGTTCGCATGGACTGCCCAGGAAGAATACAAGGAACGATGAACTGATACGTTTGATGTTTCGTTCAACACTGGTAGCTCCCTTTTAGCAAGCAGAACTAATGGGTGAACATTGGATTGCTTCTTGCACAGTCCAGTACTTGTTAGGTCTTGAAAAGCTAGCCAGACGGTCGGGTTTGAAGACCTGGCGAGGAGGTACCATGAATCAGTCGCTGTTGTCCACACTTGTAGTTTCCCAAACTGCTTCAAAATAAACCCTTATACCGGATGGATGGGAGCCTTGTAATTGCATCTTTAGTAGATGCAACCACAAACAGCGCTGCTTCCCCATGAATTTACCTCACTTACCTAATTTGAGGAAAGTTAACAAGTCCTCAGTAAATACTATGCACAGACCACTTTCTGAGCCGTGCGATTAGAAGTAATAGTTTCATTGCTAACATCACGTCCAGTCGCGTCAGTCCCTCATCAACCCACGCCCTCTCCTATAACTACAGGAAGCCGGCATTAGTCTGCCAAATCAGCCCTCTACACCAACCAAGGTACTTGATATTTGCTGGATATCCTTCTATTCCCCCAGCCAGGGACTTTCAAGTAGTATACTTCGTCAAATCATCAATCTCAGCAGTTAAAAAGGTGCGTTGAGATATTCTCACTTGTGGCAGATATTGCGACTAACTAGGCCCCAGATTCACTCTGTTGGATGACGACAATTTTCATCCTCATCTGGCATTAAATCTCAATCTGCTTTACCGCGAACTTGATCGAGGGAAAGGTGGAAAGGATGCCCTACGATCCGGACCTTTATCCGGATGACGACCCTATCGACAACTTCAATTATGATCCTAAGGACGATTATGATGAGCTGGGCGATGACTATGACCCGGATCTAGACCCAAACCAACAAAGGGATCACGAAGAGGACGTGGATGAGTTCTACGATGCAGAAGACGTGGAGGATGAACCACCACTACAAGCGCCCGCCAAAGTTCCCCAGCATCCGAGGCGAGCTACGCTCTCGCCTTTGCAACCCTCAAGATCTGAGCGACATGCGACGCCAACATCGACATCTGTCCGCGATGGAACACCAAGGTCAGCTCGGGTCGCCGTCATGCTCCCGGTAAGCGTGAAGAAGGAGGCCTATATCAGCATCCCAGATGTTGCATCAGACGAGGAGGAGGAGGAAGAGAAGGAAGAAGGAGATACAATGGTTGGCAATTTCGTGACATCAGACCTGATGCCTCCCACTCCAAAGAGGCGAAAAATCACAGAGCGGCCATCGACGAAACCTACCTCCACTGTTGCCGCACCCAACTATGTGCCGCCGAAGGTTCAACCACCACCATTTCCAATACCAGATATTCCAGCACCAGTACCCCTGGTCAATCCAACAAAGAAACGAGGGCGGCCGTTCGGATGGAGACCAGGCTTGTCCTATGCCGCAATGCGAGGAAATCCCGTGCCTCCTCCTAGACCCAAAGTTCCGAAACAACCCAAAGCGCCAAGCGAGGTCAAGCGCAGGGGCCGTCCACCCAAGAAGCCACATGAGTTGCCTAGAGAAATTTTCTCCAAACTCACGCCCAGATACATCCGCTTCCTCTGCGAATGGGAGGGATGCCCAGCCGAGCTGCACAACTTTGAGACTCTACGGAAACACGTTTTGGTTGTACACGGCGATTACAGACAACCTCATCAACACCATCTACTTTCAGCAAGAGAACAACCACAAGAGCCCAAGACTTGCAAATGGGCTTCCTGCCACAGCAAGCGTCTCCAATCCGAGCTGCCACCTCTCACCCTACCCACCAAATCCCACTTCGAAGCCCACGTCAACGAAAGCCATCTGATACCTTTCCTTTGGCACGTCGGCGACGGCCCCCGCAACACCAGCATCGAGTCTCCCCTCTCCGAGAAGCCCCTGACCATAACATCGGCCCTCCCATCACAACCGGCAACGTCATCATCCATCTCTCACCTCGATTCTACCACCACCACCACCGCCATCAAACTCCAACCACTACCACCCTACCTCTTCGACGCCTCCGGCAACCAAGTAACCCCCTCCGTCCGCGACCAGCTTTACGAAAACGACGACGACAAACGCCGCCGCCGCGTGCGCCTGGAGCGAGTGCATTTCCTGAGAGACGAGAACGCAGCCCTGGAGCCAGTTTACACGCAAGCCGAGCGGGACGCGATGGAGGCGAGCTTGGCGGCCAAGAAGAAGAAGCAGGATGAGTTTTGGGAGTACTACGAGAAAGTGATGGGACCCGTGGTAGAGGTGACGGTGCTTGCAGCGGACCAGGAGGACCTGGAGGTCCCGGAGAATCCTTCTGGAAACCTGGGCAAGGAGGTTAAGAGGAAGATGTTGAGTTGTGGGTGGGATCCGCAGTGGAGGGGGTTGTATCAGGATTGATTTTTAGGCGGGAGGGGGAAGGGGGATGAAGGATGGAAGGAGATGGGTGAATGTACTTCTGGTTGCGTGTGTGTTGTCGGGGTGGAAAGTGGTGGAAAAGGTAGGAGGGGCATATTGTTTGTATACTTATGTACCTTCACACCTTCTTAACATAGCAAGCGATACTCAAGTGAAGGGCTCCAAATGTTCGTATCATGCCATAGCTTGCAGTAAGTTTTTGGTACTGTTTTTTGCCTTGATATGAGTTGATATTCGCTTGTAGATATATTTCGTTACAACTGACAGCAACGCTGGCTCTTAGATGAAACGCTACCAGGGGTAAACTCCCCATGGGAGAGTGCCTAGGACTTGCATGAAAAGACGGACTTTGAGCGGAATGGAGCGGATGACGTTCTGGTCCACGGCCGAACACACTATTCACCCACTAGACTACATGGAGACAATAATATTTACTTAGAATAGACACTAAGCTGACCGAATCTCTTGCGTTGATGAATTTGCAACGTAAACTGAAGCTCGAAGTACTTCCATGATGTGAATTCCGGAGAACCTTCTAAATTGTCGCAATTGTATAATAGGAAAAATCACTAGGAAAACACTTTAGCGCTGGATATTTGTCTTTGCAATGTAACGCTTTAAAAGAGGTATTTGGGGCGGGAACTTTGCGGCATTCTGAGATGCAGAGTGAAAAGCTTGGAGACTAGAGAGACATGTCGAAGAAGACGAGAAAGAGCTAACTAGGTGAATTGCCCTATACCTCTATGCTTGGGTTCTTGACCTGGCTGGGACCTGGATATCAATCCCCACTCAGCGATGGGAATGTATCACGATACCAGTGCATGCGTACACTACATACACAGTCAGAGTCTACTGGAAGGTGACAAACAGTAGACTGAGGTAACTTGATGAATTTGGTCTTTCCGGGGTAGGCTTGGCTTCCCCAGCTTGACGGGGATCGGTCAACGTGGAACTTGAGGTTGGTTACTTGGCTATCTGGTTGCCTGCGTTAAACACCAATTTGGGTGATGAGTACCTAGTGTAAGACCTCGCTAAAAGCGACCAGATTTCGGACAGTAACTGCCGGGACGGGTTATGCTCCGAGCTGTCGCCAACGGGAAGTGCGCATATACTGTACCTATTAGACATTGTAATAAAAGAGGATTTCCATAGATACTTGTCTCTGATGTCCCAGCCTTTCCATCCTCCATCTGCAGGTCCTCGACAGCGCTCGACAGTCTGGATCCATCGAAGACGTTGCCAAGCCCTGCGAGGTGTGGTGGCTAGTGATCCATTCGTCAGAATCGATGTGTCAGGGTCAGTGACAGTAATTACAGTCAGGGTAATGAAAAAATGCTTTCTCTGACAGCTTATCGGGGTGCACGTGATTACATATCGTGATATCTATTTATTTTACTACATCGAGGGGCACCAAACTGCACCAAAATGCCCAAGCATCGTGAGCTGGCGGTTCAGATATCAAGTGGTTGTTGCAAAAGGTGGTATTTCGAGGTAGAAAGGCACAGGTTTACCAAATCTACCATATTACAGTGTGGGGCGAGCACGGGCACGCCGTACGGACTCCTGACCGTCAGGAATTACTGAAATTTACCGGAATTGAAAAACATCAGAGCTGGCTTGAAATAATGGATCACTAGTGGTGGCGGGAAGACAGGGACCAAAGGATTGCGATCCAACAGAAACCAGTGTTTTTAGAAGGTAGTATAGAGACGGCTGGCACTGAGACATGATGCTCGTACGCTAGGTGTTGCGAGGCTGCTTTACACATATTCGCTGCTGTGAGTTTGAAGCTGACCATGAGCCTCATGATGGACCAGACGGGTTGGGGGTTTTGCCTTGCTGATAAATGCAGTTTTCAATGGATGACAGATGGCGTGCCATTGATGCCGAAATGACTGGACGAGAACCCTTCAACTTGGAAAGAAGGCGCAGTTCAAATGGTCGGGACTCCGATCGTTCTCATCGCTCCAGTCGGCGTGCGCCGGAAGGTCCCGTAACACTCCACCAACCTGAGGAATCCTGAGGAGACCTTGGAAACAGGCAGTCTCCTTGGAGTCTTTGGACACCATGTTTCGACCTTCCGCCAATAAACCTGTGGTTGCTGCACTAGCAGAACATCACCACATTAGAGTGCTTGCCAGCTAGCCGGAGGTACCTCTAAGTAGAGGTAGGCGGATGATGGGGAACAACGCTGGTGTCACTGTGTGTTTAGCAACCAGCCCGTTGCACCATAATGGAAGAAACCCGAAGCGAAACAGCTTTCGCGGAGTACCCAACAGCGACGCCTGCAGCCCCATTGGACGGCGTCCTGGAAGTGGAAGGTGCCTGGCCGCCAGCATTCGTAAACAAGTGGGCACACACCCAGACGCAACTGGCTCGGTCCGGACATTTCTTGTTGGACTTGTCATCTGTTATCCACTCTGCCATCCACTCTTTCGACATCACTACCACCGGCCACCCCAGGCACTGCCTACTACTGCTGCCACTCAGACCGGAGGAACTGCCAGGCCACCCGCTGCACCCAGCACCCTCCACTGCATTGGCAACTCGCGCACTCGCAGTCCAGTGCACCTTGGCCCCCCCCCGTCTTTCCCCCTTCCTCCCATCCACAAGTCGCATCATGGACTCGTCTTCATGAGCATTACATCACAAGGATGCCGTCCACAAAGAACGCCAACGGCGAAGGCCATTTCCCCTCGCGCATCAAGCAATTCTTCCGCATCAATTCCGGCTCCAAAGACCACAAGGACCGCGATGCCCACACCACCTCCAGCTCCCACGGCGGAGCACCACGCGCCGACGCCAAGACGCCCTCCGGCTTCCGTCAATCCCGTTTCTTCAGCGTCGGCCGCCTTCGCAGCACCACGGTCGTGAGCGAGGGCAATCCGCTCGACGAATCCATGAGTCCGACCGCACACGCGAACCCGTATTTTGCCCACCAGGGCCAACCGGGCCTGCGCCATCACAATGACGGCTCGGTTCCGCCCAGCCCGCCCGACACGCCCTCACTCAAGGTCGACGGCCCCGAAGGCTCGCAGCAGCCCACGGCGGCCACAAAAGAAGAGCTTGCGAGGAAACTGAGGAGAGTCGCCAGTGCTCCCAACGCTCAAGGCCTGTTTTCAAAGGGTCAGGGCAACGGCGAGCGCCCTGCCACGGCCGAACTCAGCAAGGAGCCGCTCGAGGAGAGCAAGGATTCCAACACCGTCGGTTTCGCAGAGCAAAAGCCCAACAACGATTCCTCTACAAGTCTGGCTGCGCCCGATGCCGATGGTCTGGGAGCGCTGCCTCCTCCCATCCGTCAGTCGCCGCTCGCCTTCCGCCGAACATATAGCTCCAACTCCATCAAGGTCCGCAACGTTGAGGTCGGCCCCCAGAGTTTCGACAAGATCAAGTTGATTGGCAAGGGCGATGTCGGCAAGGTATATCTAGTCAAGGAGAAGAAGAGCGGGAGGTTATATGCCATGAAGGGTACGTCTTCGCGTCCGTTCGGGACAATGTCTCACCCCTTACTAACAAAGCAACACAGTTCTGAGCAAGAAGGAAATGATCAAGCGTAACAAGATCAAGAGAGCCTTGGCCGAGCAGGAAATTCTCGCGACAAGCAACCATCCCTTCATCGTGACCCTGTATCACTCCTTCCAATCCGAGGACTACCTTTACCTTTGCATGGAATACTGCAGCGGTGGCGAGTTCTTCAGAGCTCTACAGACACGTCCCGGCAAGTGTATCCCCGAGGACGATGCTCGCTTCTACGCCGCAGAGGTGACTGCTGCGCTTGAATACCTGCATCTTATGGGATTCATCTACCGGGATCTCAAGCCAGAGAGTACGTTTCCACTTTTCCCACCTTTCATCATGCCGATCATTTCGCATAACTAACTGTCGATCATCACAGATATCCTACTGCATCAGTCTGGACATATCATGCTTTCAGATTTCGATCTGTCCAAGCAGTCCGACCCGGGCGGCAAGCCAACCATGATTATTGGCAAGAACGGCACGAGTACGTCGTCGTTGCCGACCATCGATACCAAGTCATGCATAGCAAACTTCCGCACAAACTCCTTTGTGGGCACAGAAGAGTATATCGCACCAGAAGTGATTAAGGGCAGTGGGCATACTAGTGCAGTCGACTGGTGGACGCTCGGAATTCTCATCTACGAAATGCTGTACGGTACTACCCCCTTCAAGGGTAAGAACCGTAACGCAACGTTCGCCAACATCCTCAGGGAAGATATTCCCTTCCCTGACCATGCCGGCGCGCCGCAAATATCAAAGTAAGTCTCCCATACTTGTCAACGCTTTCTGCCCTGACTACTTGCTAACCTTGGATCATCAGCCTTTGCAAATCACTCATACGCAAATTGCTTATCAAGGACGAGAATCGTCGTCTAGGTGCCCGTGCTGGTGCATCCGACATCAAGACTCATCCCTTCTTCAGGACGACACAATGGGCTCTGATCCGTCACATGAAGCCGCCCATTGTCCCGAACCAAGGTCGCGGCATTGATACACTGAACTTCCGCAACGTCAAGGAAAGTGAGAGCGTGGATATCAGCGGGTCCAGGCAGATGGGCCTTAAAGGAGAACCACTCGAAAGTGGGATGGTAACACCAGGCGAGAATGCCGTTGATCCATTCGAAGAGTTCAACAGCGTTACATTACATCACGACGGGGATGAAGAGTACCACTCTGATGCTTATGAGAAACGATAAGGGCGTTTCGGGAGGTCCCAACTCCTGGTCGTTTTTATTGAGGGCATTTTCAGCTGGTGAGGATCGCAATCAATTGATGGCTCCGTCATCTCTCGCTCCTCTGCCTTGCGTTCTGTCGCAGGGCGCGTCCCATGGCGACACTCATTTGGCGCTCTGCACTGTGTTTCCTGTTTTCTGTTTTACTACTTGCAGAGCTGAAACATACCTGCCTGCAGCGTAGTTTCTCGTTCTTCTCGTTCACACATCTCACTCACTTTAGACTGACACGTGGACACGAGTGCTCAGAGGACTTTGTTTAAGGGGTTTGGCTCACCATATTCATTTCTATCTTCATTTGAAGGAGTTTCATGGCGGTGGCGTTTTTTTTTTTTTTTCTGTTTGCTTTTTCTTTTTCTTTTCTTTTCTTTTTTTTTTTTCTTTTTTTTTTTTTTTGGAAGGGAAGTTCAGGGTGAAGAAAGGATTGAAAGAAACCAGCGCAGTTGTGCAGATCTAGCAAAGATTTATTGTTATACGGCATATAACTTATTGGAGGAGAGAAAAACAGCCGGTGCTATTCGGTGGGAGTGCGGCGATGAGCGGGAAAAAGTATCTAGTCATGAGATATTGGAAATATTCTGTGTAGCACGAATAGAATTGCGCAGTAAATACAACGATGGTGTACGATGCGAGGACTTGACCTGGAGCCATACGCAATTCCTTGAAGCCCAATGAAGCTACATCTTTGTCGAGGGTCATCCACTCCACGACAACACTCAGTCAGTCTTATTTGGAGAAGAAGACGATGGACACTCGAAAGTTGCAGATCGAGTTCGTCTTGGCCGCTCTGTTGCTTCGACATCGCTGAAGCGGAAATACGACGAGTGGCATTTGGATGCGGATATCTGCTGTGTGACCACCGCCGCTCATGGTCGCCTTCTCTGATTGTCTGCAACCAGCCTATGCTTGGTAGGTCGGTAGCTTCCTCCCAAGCTGCGTTGACCAGATGCATAGATGACAGTCCCGTTGTGAAATGGTCGGGTAGCCACGGTGTTCGAGGAAGTGCTGGAAGTACTTGCCGATTTTGAGAGATGAGCACAATATATCGCGGTAATGATGGCACCAAGCGGAAAGCAGCAACCGGAATTATGAATGCACATTAGTACCTCTAGGCACCTAGAGGTAGGTCACTCCAGCCTCTCAACAGACATTCGAACAGAAGGAACGATGAAATCAGCATCACTGATTGCAAGACGCCATGACAGTTCCAAGCACCTTCTGCGTAAAGACATTCAATGATGGAAGGACCATCAACATGGACACAGGAAGGAGCCTTTACAGCAGCAGTGAAAGTGCGTTGGGCTGTTCTCGTCATTCTTCGTCCTCACGAAAAGCCCTTCGTCCCCGACAACCAAACTGTCAACATCGATGTGTAGCAGCCCCCCAGCCCAACGGAGGTTTTGCAAGACCCCGACACGACATGGACTCGGCCGAAGAGCAGAACAATGCCCACGAGGCCGTATACAAGCATCAGCTGCATCATCAACAGAAACCGCCTCGCGATGCCTCTTCCCCCTTCTACCACCAGCGTTTGAGCTCCTTTGCCTCTCCCCTCCACGAGTTCGAGACATCGCCCGCCTATATCCTAGAATGGGATCCCAAGAAACAATGCCGGAGGACGATTGTCGGCGGTCCAGATGATCTGCGTGAGTTGATATCGGGCATGGACAAGGACGGAACTCTTACCTTGTTTGTTTTTCATGGCCTCCCTGCGAATTACGTCGACATTCTCCGCAACAGCGAGGAGCTCAGCATTGACTCCGCATTCCTGGATGCACATGCTACCCGGAGAAGCCACTGTTCACGCTCTGGTTTGACCCTTCCACGCAGACGAGGTCACTCGAACATCAGAAGTGCCGAAGCAGGTTGCTTTGCGCAGTTTGAGTACCCCGAGCTTATACAAGGATTCGATTGTACCTCGATGTCCAGACGGGAGATTTATCACAGCTCCGGAGCGGGCCTTGATGGTCCTGATCTGATGATCACTGACCCAAAGGTCCTACCTTTGACAGAAGACGGGAAGACGCCGAAAGGATTGGCGGCAGCCTTCAACCGAGCATCTCTCTGGATTAGTTCTACTCGGCAACAGAACCCTCAGGCTGGAGTACTGTTCCTTGATAAGCCGCTGTGGAGGGATGCTGCCCCGTCAAATTTACGGAAGGCATCGTTTCCTACGACCAAGAAGACTAGCCCGGTCATGGAAGCACAGAGACCCCGAGTTGCTGCCCCCGACGGGTATGACAATCGTGAAGATGAAGAGGTTCCATGCCTGGAGGACTTGGTTTACGAAATGCTCTGCCACAACTCCAATGAAAACACGCAGGTGGTTGATCCAGCAAGCTTCATTGCGAACGTCCTGTCCGACGTTGTCTACAATCACTGGCTCGAGTTGTTCGAAGTTTTGGCGCCCCCGACAGCGTCGCAGCCGAAGTTGATCGAAAGAGAAGTATCGAAGAGCATCACTCTCTATTGGTATATGGTGCAATCACTTGAGCGAAACGCCGACTTCACTCCTTTCTATGCCGACCGCAATGGCCATATCAAGGGGTGTGACAGAGGTTCCTCATCTGGATCGGAATGGAAGACGCTGCTTTCTCGAGCTAAGCGCCGAATCGCTCTTCTCACTGCATCACCAGGCGTCCCTATTCTCTTACCTATCCCCACGCCTCCCGAAAACCCACCAACATGCGTGACCCAGGAGAAGGTCAAGCCGCCGAAAAAGAGATCAACAGCCATGGGCTTTACAGCTAAGGTCACAAACATTCCTCTATCCAGGACGACAACACCCGGTGACAACCTGAACCGGAATGCAACATATGCAAGCCTGACACCTCAACGCAGCCATCTTCATCGTATCAGCTCCCACCAGCATGGTACATCCAACAGATTATCTGCCGATAACCAACGGGCCCTCGAACGTATCTCCTATCTAGGTGGAATCCTACTTCCATTTCCCATTGTCTCTGGGATTCTCTCCATGGGCGACGAGTACGGACCGGGCGCTCCCAAGTTCTTTATCTTCTGGGCGGCAGTCATTCCGCTTTCTATCGTTGCCTGCCTGATCATTTACGCGGACATAGTCCGTAAGGCTGAGGTTTGGGTTGAGGTTGCCACTGAACGGGTGGTAGTCAGTTCACTGTCGAGTGCGGCTGCAGTGTTTCCTTACCCCCTTCCTGATCTTCCCGTGGGGGTAAATATTGATGACACAGGTGACACTTGTGGGGCTGGAGTTACCGATGTGGATCGGAACAGAGGTGGAGGGGATACGGAAGAAACACCCCCAAAGGACTTCCTGTCCTTGAAGACATGGCGCTGGTGGATCGGAAAACTTATCTGGCAAAAGCACAGACGGATGAAGAGACAGATGGAGATGCGACGTCATCCAACCCATGATCATGGCACGGAAGTTAACCTGGATCAAGAGGAAGGTGGCAGCTATGCTCATCAAAGAGGACAGACTGACGAGGAGCAAACAATCGGAATCAACCCTTTCGTGGGAAGCACAGACAGAACTGGGTTTTATCCTCCGCCCGATACTGCTTCACCGACTGCTCAACCATTCTCTCAAACGGATCCCCACAAACAACGTCCATCTTTACCGCCGTCTTTCCAACTGCCGACGGCTACAGGCAGTCACTATGGCGATGGCAATATTCAAGACAATGGTCAGGTACTGAACGAGGAGACTGTCGACACAACCCCCATTACACCACTCTCACCCGGCCACGTCCATTTGATGATGATGCCCCCTGGGATGACGCTAGCACAAACTACGAGTTACCCTGATCCTCAGAGACGTGTGGGATTTGATGCAGACACGGAAACCGAGACCACTCAGATGGATGAGTCAGAAGAGGGATCGGTGTCAGGAGAAGCGCTACCTCGCGTGATACTGGAGATGACACCATCCAACGGAATCAAGCCGAAGGCGTGGAAAAGACAGGAACTGGGCTGGTATGGTGCTGTCAAAAGGATTGTGAACCCCAAGCAACTGAGAGCGCTGGAGGATGTGCCGGTGGGCGTGGAGGCGCACGAAAGACAAAAGAGTTCGGCCAGTGGAATAAGGAGAAGGAAGACTAGGACCTACTGACGTCTTATCCCTGAGAAGATTTGCAAATGACGCTCGATTGTATCCCGTTGAGGATGGTTCCATGATATCTGTCTGTGGCAATGGGTGTGCAAAATCTGGGAGTCGCCATGACTTGATTGATACTTTTTCAGAATATTATTAGCAGAGCAAAGGCTGGTTGTATATCATATGCTGCCCAAGACCGATAAAGAACAAAAAGAAAACGGGTAAGGGATAGGAGGAAGGTTGTAATCAAGGGTGTGTATGTCAAGGGTCATATTGGGACAATGTACGAAGGTGATGTGAGTAGATCTGCTGTCTACAGGTCCAGAAAAACCTCGAGGGACACCAAAACAAAGCGTTTACTGTATTGTAACTTGAGTACCGTACACAGTGTAATTTAGCACTTACCAAGACGCTGTAATTACACCGACCACATGCATTCCCATCAAAGCGAAATATTACATGTTCCTGCACTGCGCGTCCAATCGCGACTGTCTTCTGTTTCACCCATCAACAACTTCACTCCCGTCAGCTCTCTTCATTAAACCTCACGTCTCCATAAATCTAATTTCGAAAGCAATCTAGCTTTTCAATCAATCCATGCAACCTGACAAGTATACACTTTAATCCAAAAGTCAACCCCAAAAACACATCTTCACCAAATGGAGCAACAACAACAATCAAACCCCCTCCTCAACTCCCCACCAGAACTCACACCAACAGAACAAGATGTTCTTGACGAATACGAGCGTTTGGCAGAAAACATGAAGAAGGTACACCAATTCAAGTTTTCTTTCTTCACCAACTATACACTAAATACCCTGTTCCAACCCCCAGCTTCCCTCCTTCACCTTCCCCATAATACATAAATAACCATTCACTAACAATCATCATCGATACTACTAGCTTGCCTCAGTACTAGATACGCTGGCCTCCCAGCCCTCCGTCGCAATTCTCGATGGACTAAGGGAGCTGGAGCGCAAGACCAGTTTGGTGTTTACCCTTATGAAGGCGAGCGTTTATAGTATTGTATTGCAGCAGGAGATTGATTGGGGTGGCCCTGCTGCTGGGGAGAATGGTGGTGGTGGTGGTGGCGACGGACCTGGAGGGGCGGGGAGTGGTGTTGGGGAGCAATCGTGAAAGAAGAGGAAGAGCACTGACGGGAGAGATGCGTGGGAGTGAGAGAGAAAGAGAGAGAAAAAGAGAGAGAAAAAGAGAGAGAAGAAGAGAGAGAGAGAGAGGAAGGGAAGAATGCCGTTTCATTGGTGGTGAAGATGGATAATAGGGTATTACGCGACATACGACTACGGCATCGGACAAGGAACGGGGGACAACTTTCGGCCACAGAGTAATATGCTTGTGGGCTGGACGTGCCGAACAGAGGAAAGGGAGGAGAGGGAATATCGAGGAGACAGTCCCTTTTGGACGCCGAAACAAGCAAGCAACATCATCCAACTTGGGCCTACCACGCAATGTTCCCCAAATCGCATGGATATATAACCAACACATATCGGACAGCTACCCAGCCACCAACATAACAGGTATGCCACCACTGTTTTACTGCATAGTCCCTTTTGGTTTTCCGCTCAGTTCCATGGTCTTCAGTATAACGTAATGTACATATATTTACAGATTAGAAACAAGCAGCGCACATCCATGAAAAAAAAAAAAAAGTCTGGGGGGAATGATACAATGCTTCTTCTTCTTCTTCTTTTTTCTTCTTTTGCGCTTTGCTTAGTATACAGACCCGCCATAGTAAACCTTGCGAACATCGACGAGCTTCTTTCCCCTACCGATGGCGAGATCTTCAGGGTTGGGCTGGCTGAGAAGGGCCTGGTAGGTGGCCTTTACTGTGTTCATGGGGTTGCGTGACCGCAGGAACTTTGCGCTGAGGTCACGAATGCCGGCGGCGCGGCACATTTCAAAGATACGATGGGAGACGCGGAGACCGAATCCTGGACAAATTTCAGATGTTAGTGGGATACAAGTACAATTTAAAAAGAAGAAGAAGAAGGGGGGGGGGGGGGGGAACGAAAACGGCCAAGACATACCAGGAGGACGCGAGTTCAGGCGCACAATGGTGCCTGACACCTTGGTGGTGACCTCGCCATAAATGGTCCTGTTTTCATAGCGGGGGATGGGCTGCATGTTTTGTATGGCCAACAGAGTGGCTTTTTCAACAGCGATGGATGCTTCGACCGACTTCGCCATGCCGAGACCAAGCCAGCCGTCACCGTTTCCGGCAATGACCATGACCGAGTCGCTGGCAATCTTGCCCAGACGGGTCTGGTTCACAACGCGACGGTGGACCAGCTTCTTAGTCTTGAGCTGGAGAATCTGACGGACCGACATGCCCGTCCGCTTCTTCAGCTCCTGATACTGACCCTTGTCATCGAGACCGTCGTCGGCAGGGTCGATCGCGTTCCTGTACTTGCCCTCCACGCCGGGGACCTTATCGGGAAGGGCGGGCGCCAGCGACGAGTTGGCCTGCAGGTTGTTGTCGGTCATGGACGAGCGCTCCAAAATGTACGACAGAATGTCGCCGTCGGTAGGGCCGGTCGCGTTGGCGGCGGCCTTGGCGTCGGCGTCCTTCTGCTCCTTGAGGTAGGCCCAAAACTTGGTAAAAGCTTCGTCCCGGACGTCCTTGGGCCACTGCCCCTCAGGCTTCTCAAAAAACTCCTCCGGTACGAAGTCCCTCAGCTTCTTCATCCTGTGCGTCGGCTCGCCCCGGCGGATCTCGTCAGCCCAGTTGATCAGGTCCTGAGTGAACTCGTCAACGTCCATGAAGCGCGCTTTGTGGCTGGGGGGCGCCGAGCGGCGAGCGCGCTTGTCGATGATGGGTTGTATCTCGCTAAAGTCGTCGATGTAGGGCATGCGGTACGGGTCGACGCGCAGACGACCTTGTATCGTCAGGTCCCTGGGATCGATGGCAGCCTCGGCGGCTTCGATGGCCTCCATATGTTCGGCGGGGTAGTTGTGGGCGAGGGCGGCCTTCTCATCTTCCGTGTACTCGGCGAACTTCTTCTTGGTAAAACTCTCGATCTTTGCATCCGAGGTCAGGCCCATCTCGACGGCACGGACATTCTTGAAGCGCGACCGCCTCCGGGCCTCGAGGTGGGCGGAGCTGTGGAATTGGGACTGTTGCTGCTGCTGGGCGGCGGGACATGTCGACGCGGCCGGGGTGGAAGCTGCCGGTGCAGCGGCCGGGACAGTGGCGGCCAGACGCCGGGAGAGGAAACTCCGGGCAGCGAAGCGTGCCGCACTCATGGTTGGCAAGCGGGAACTGACTGGGCTGGGCGAGGCCGGAGCAGTGGAAGGTGGTGGGAGGACGGGAGGGGAGGACTGGTTGTTGGGGGTCCCCCAATGGAGGCAGCTGGTTTCCTTTCCTTCGCGGTTGTGAGAACCCTCAGAGCCGGACGTCCCTCTTCGAGTCTATTTCGCGGCTCTACATACTATTTTTTGGAGACCTGACTGGCGCCCGCCAATCCGATTTGGCCTGCGACGGAATCGATCCGACCGGTCCCCAGCAATTTTTTGGTGGCCCGAGCTTCCCAGAGCTCCCGCTGCGTCCCGCGCTCGAACCGCCCGGCCACGGCAATCGTTCAGGCACATTGGGGCCCGAAGGGAGCCAGGCCGGACGAGCTGCCCCGTTCTCTGCTTACGTAAGGTGTTCATGTGCTTGGGGACCCTTCTCCTGTCGCAGCTCAGCGAGCCTGAAACAGCACACCCGACACCCAAACGAACCCCTAACAATTGAACCTCTCTTACCGCCCATGTTGGCGCGCCGTCGGTCGCCTGACATCTCGACTTGTGCCTCTCCTCAATGTGACGTCCTTGGTTTCATGTTCCTGGTAGGTTCTGGCTCTTGCGAGAAGAAGGATGGACCGTGAGTATCTTTTCGTCGCCAGTATTTTCGACGTTCTGCCTTTTTTTTTTTTTTTTATTCTCCATCTTTTGATCTGCATGTCCACATTCCACAAGCTGCGACTGTGAATAACTTCATCACACGCGACGAAAGCAAAGCCAACCACAGATCAAGGATCATACCAATTACCAATTTTAATATCATCGCAACTTCTTAATTCAATTTCAACCAAACGCCCTGGCGGCTACATACTTCCAAGACAAGATACCATTGCACGTCTCATCCTCATCGGCCATCATCAACATCATCATCGCATAATTCCCGAGCACAGCATCTGCCACAACTAACCGACACATCACATCACACACTCTTGTCCTTCCATAATTCGAATAACAAGCCAACCACCGCAATCATGGGCCAATTCGACTGGTTCCTCAAAATCGGAGCCACCCCGCAAGCTGTCGCCGTGCTCAACGACCAGCCCATCCTCTTCACCATTCTCATCGTTGTGCTCATCGCCGTCATCCTCGAATGCGTGCTGATGTGGTACATCCACTATGCCACGATGAAGCCGGAGCAGCGGGCGGCTAAGAATAAGAAAAAGAAAGCGGGCACGGGAGATAATAAAAACGCTGCGCCGGGTGGGGGGAGGTGAGAGGATGGTCCGAGAGGAGATGAGTTGACGAGGTAGGATGAAATGGCTAAGGTGGATGAAATGAGATGAAAGGCTAGTATTGCCGAGGTGTTCTGAGGATATGTGGGAATGGAAGCTGCGGGCTGAGCAAGGAGTATGCGGACGGGAAGAGAGCAGCAGAGGTCAAATCCGACATTGATGGGCGATGGGGGAAAGAGCGGGGAGCTATCGATGGACGAAGGGCCTATTCATGGGGAATTGCGACCGCGATCTCGACGGATGGACAAACACACGCTCTTTTCCAACGAGAGAGGCGCTATGCCGGTCGTATCTGAGCCTCATAGTTATCTGGGATGCGAGCAACGCACAGGAGAGGGCGCCCCACAAATGGATATGCTTCTTGGTCTCCTGGTGGGGGAAAACGCCAGGGAAGAAAGCGACGTCACTTTTTGATGCTCGCAGATATCTGGAACTGACTGGTTGCCAAACGGATTGTATGCTATGGATAGGCTATCTGGAGTTGTAGGCCTGGGGCTGTCAGTATTGCACAGCGGACGATTTTTGGTGCAGTTACGTCCGCTCTGTTCAAACTTCGAAAACCCCCTTGAAAGGATAATTGGTCAAGTGTGAACGGACTGGTAGAGAATTGGGTTCCTTATCACCTGAATCTACAATTTCATGCAGAATCCCATTCTAGATATTCTCCTAGATACTCTTCCGGATCGCCAAATTTTTCACCATCATCATCCTCCATCTCTTCAAAATGCAGCTCATTGCTTGTCAGGTTTGGACCGCCCATCAAACGTGTCTGGAATGCTTGGTGCCTCGAAATCGGATGAAGTCTCCCAAGCCCATCTGCATAGACGTAGTCACCTTCGGAGCTCGGCTGGAGTTCGTCAAGTGCCATATCTTCTCCTTCAACATCATACCACTCTTCGACCCCGTCCTCACCGTATGTTTCTTCCTCGCTGTGATCCCCGAGCAGGGCGACAATTCCAAACTGATATTGGTAGTCGTACTCGACCGCGTCCGTGTTCGTGTCCATGTCTGTGTTTGTGTTCGCGCCTTGTCCAAAAAGGTCAAAAGGGTGGTAATCATGAGTCAAGGACGGGTGATGATTCACCCAACCATCATCAGCAAGTTGAGTGAATCCCTCCAGGATCTCCTCCTCTTGTGTATCTGCCGGGGCATCTCCATTGCCCTTAGCTTTTCGCTTGCCTGTCTTGGAAGCAGGCTTGACATGGATACTTGTTTGACATAATGACCACAGCCTCTTCTCAACTTCCTTTCCGATTCCATCTTCGAGATCATCCGAGTGACCTAGGGTGCTCCTTATAGCTTCATCTTCAGCTCCAGCTCCAAGCAATTTGTTCACTTTATCTCTCAGCATTGCTGACCGGGCGCTACGCAATCTGGCTAATCCGTTGGCGATGGCCGGAATCGTTTGCGCATGTGCTGTCATGGACTATTATCGTTAGTCCTCATCCAAGTAATCATACTCCATGCCGCTTACATACCTGTAAGTAGCGAAGATTCCATACTGCCGGCGCAATTTCAATCAGCGAGGGAAGTTGTCTGTCCTCCGTAACCTTCACCCCAGGAAAAGTGTGCTTGACCCCTATAAGCTTCCGAAGCGCGGCATCCAGGAGTAATGCCATCTCCTTCTTTTCCTCTTCCGAGATCGAGAGGAGGATGACCGGGTCTGAGTTGGAGTTGGCCAAATCGGGTTGAGTGACAGGGCAGGCTTTCTTGGCCTGTCTTTGCGAAGTGCCCGTATACTTGACGTTAACGGTTCTTGTGATCCGTCGTGGATTTTTTCGCATGCCAGTCCTGGACTCTTCAAACACAGGAGGCTCTAGTCCTACCTGGGCCATTTCTTCATCGGCCATCTTTGACGGTCGTTTAGGCTCACCGGCCCTCCTCCATGATGTATCGAGCCGAAGATTGATGTTACAGCTCAAGCCTTTGAACTTTACACAAGTCAGTGTGTGCGGTACGATCATCTCCGAGGAGAGATCCGGGTGGCAAAGAAAATACGAAGTCTCCGACTTTTGATCCTCCTCTTGGGAACCAGACGGAAGCGGCAAATGCTTAGCTTTAAGCTCGAGACCGAGTTCTTCCCAGAGCTTAGACACCACAAGTCAGCGAACGGGGTCCGCCAGTGTTGTTGGAAGATCTCGCTGAAGCTTACCGAGCACTCAGCAGCCATACCAGTTAGAGATGAGATGATAGGTGGATGGATCACGTTTGAATCTGGTAGCTGGCCGTTGATGAACGTCTTGAAGACAAGCTGGCAAGACCCCGACTTTGCCATCCATAGGTTGCCGTCTTTGGAGTGATGGAAAAAGTCAGTTGCGGTCAGCTGGTTTAATCCCAGAGCAGTCGTGTCCGAGTCGATGAGGAAAGAGGCTGTCAGTTCGAGTGAGAATGGCGAGTTTTTGCGCACAACTGTGATGCTTCCTAGGGTGACTGTTGTTCCTTCCATTGTAAATACACAAGCCTAGGCAGCCGAGACCATGGATGCTGCTGGGAAAAGGATACGTCATGATAGCGATCCATGAACTCGGTTCATGTAACTTGAAAAATATTGTGGGAGAAGAGGACTGCCTTCGACCCTCCCTACCTTCCTGGTCTGAGGCTCAATCAAGCAAGGGAATGAGACTATTCGGCTCCATACCTACTGGTGGATGATGGCCAATCTCAGCGACGAGCTGTCATCCAGTCGCAATTCGACGATTTTGCACGTCGTAAATGCGACTGGGTATCGTTACTGCCGAGTTCAATGTTCAACATGCATCAAACCACCAATGTAGGAAGGAACTCATTTTGCGTGACTCCGTAAAATGGGAAGGAACTTACCACCCAGACCGTGCTCCTTTCCTTACTGTAGTTTTTAACCACTGCACTGCAGCTGGTCCGTAATTTTCAGGTTGCGGGGCGGGGATACGCGAGCACCACATGACCAAGAGAATGCGCTGGACACAAGTAAACATTTTGTGCATCGCTATACAATTCCCTTTATCGCTCCTGTCGGTCTTCTCGCTGTATGCTTATAGCACACGAGTCCTCCTCCGAAAATCCACACATATTTCGCCCATCACGTCCGTTCCCATCGCTGCCACCAGCTCTGCGATCGTTGATTTGATATCCTTGCGGTCCAACTCGATATCTTGTTGTTCCCAACTAACCAAGTCGGAAGCCAAAAAATACCCGGGGGCAGCATCTGAAACAAGAACCAAGTTGTCCATGTCCACCTGCTTCATCTCTTCCAATGAAGGGATGCCTGGCATGCTGCTGCCCAACATAAAGTCCCCTTCCTCCTCGTCACCTTCGCCGTCACTCTCTGGCCGAATGAAATGGTCTTGGAAAATTTGGGGGGATCTCCAGACTCCTTCCGTTGCCGCTCCCTGGATAGGCTGACGTAGTGCTTCGCGTCAAAAACCGCCAACGCCTCCTTGTCCATCAAATCCCAGGTGAGTGTCTCAGGATCAAGGACGGACTGCGGCTTGAAGTCCATCTTGTACTTCATTTTGGGGCAGCTATGGATATAGAATCCCGGATACCACCAACGATAGCCACCCTCTCGAGCCAAGGCAATCTCTCGCATGGCACTGAGCTTGCCTGGGTTGTGTGAGTGAAATGACTCATGGTAGAGAAAATACACTGAGCTGACGGCGTGGGGAAGCAGGTCTAACACCCCTATTGCAACAAGTTTCCCGTCCAGCCAGTAACACTGGTGAAAAGAGCCCACCTGCCGCTGGACGCCGTCCGAAGTGTAGATGGTTTCACGCTTAAGAGGTGAATTGCACAGAAATCTCTTGAATCCGTGGCGCGAAATCTTATCTGGGCCCTCCTTATGAACAAGTCTCTGATAGTTCTCAAAGATGAGATACTTTTCCTCCGTAAACTCGTCTGGCTCCAATGTGACAGTGAACTTGTGAGCTGGCTCTGGAGGCGTCTTGAGAAATTGTGCCTCGGGTTCATGGATTCTGTCGATCAAGTCGAACTCGTTGTGCCGTTTCCGTGCTTCTTGGCGCGTGCGAGGATGAACGCGGGCAGCAGCATGTGTATAATCCGGACCGATAACGTAGTTGTTGAATCGGTTGACAGTTTGCCGTTGATCTTTGGTAGGTTTGAACTCTGTTGAGTCCAGGCGAAGGGTATAGTGAGGACAACAAGAGTTTCTCGGGTTCGGCCTGTAGAGAAGAGTCCCGGACCGTCTCCAATACCGATCAACTAGCTTTTGATATAGGTGCGTTGATAAGGACTTGCTCGTAGCATAGTAAGAGTAACCTGTGTTGAAGCAAGTTAGACGTAGGCCTTACATCCAACCGTGTCTCATTAGGCACCTGTTTCTTGGCCTTGGACACACAAGCTGAGGAGCCCAGACTTATGAGGCCAATTGTGTGACATGTACGACACCAGGGGAAAAGAGACTCGGTAGGGAAAATGGGAGCGAAGCGGGCGTAATAGGGCCGAAACGGAAACTCCATTTACGTTTTCCTTTACCTGCACGTGAAGTCCCTCGACAATAACCGCAATCAGATGCGCTGCTATACCCTACAATATGCACTCTCGGTTAGCAAGATGACCTCTTCGGATCTCAATTGGCAAAACATCTCTGATCGATGTTGACCTGCTTCGTGACAAACACTCGGGTCTAAATGCATGGACGGTGCTACAACCCCGGAACCAAATAACACCTGTTTTTTTCGGGTAGCTCAACCGTACTTGAGGGCACATACGACTGACTCAAGGACAGAAGTACAACGCATAGCATATAAAATGAGTGGTTTCCTTGAGCTGTCATCATCATGCGAGGAGTACGAGGGCGCATCCACCTTACGCCAAACTGTTGACTGGAAGGCAGAGGACGGCCATCGGTCTTTCTTTTTTCTCTTTGTTTTCTTCTTCCTCTTTTTGGCAAGACAAAATCATTCGATGTTCCTTGAGGAGCATCAAAAGCCGCTTGGCACTGGATGTTTATGGACAGTTCTGTAGGAACTTAAACGAGTGTGACTCCCTTTCGGCGTTGAACAACGGGAGCGGCCAACGAGATTGTGTGAATCTCGCACATGGCCAGAATGGTTGGGTGAGAAGCAAGGAAACTACACCTGCTTACCAATTGGGAATATAAAAGACAATGGCGCCTCAGCGTCGTCAGGGGTCTGCATGCTGTTTGTGTTGTACATAGTCGTCTAAGCGGGAAGAACAGAAGCTCAGGTGGTCTTCCCTCGGAGATTGTCTTGGAGCTCACACAAAAGAGAACTGAAGTGTGCCGTGAACCTCGATCCCTTTGGGCGTGGTGTGGGATGTTGCAACGGGTCTCGCTGTTACGATATCCAGGCTGTCGGTGGAACAAGCAACGAGCACCTCCGAAAGGGGTACAGCCTCCGGGCGTGGTGTCTGCTTGGTGTACAACGAGGAGCTTCTATGAGATTCGTCAGATGAAAGGAAACTAAGGCAGGAACTCGGATGTTCGGTATCGTTTGTGGATGGATGTGGTCTCGATTTTTTGTGGAATCGAGGCTATATCCCAGCAGGAGGTTGCTGGCTGTTCTGAGCCGCCGGGAAAATAATGCGGAGTTGGGTCTGATTGTGCAGGCCGGCTAGGCACGTAATAATGTATAGGAAACAAATTCGAGGGACTTGGGACAGGACGTTTGCGCGGGCTAATCCACATTATTAGTAGACATGAGTCAGAACAAAAGCCGTTGATGTCGCTGGGGGGTTGTTGTGTTGGCGAAGAGCTTGCGCCTTCAGGCAGGCAGTTGTCTTTGATCAGAAAGCGGACCGAGAGGGGCAACGGTTCGCAACCCCCACATTAAAGCATACATCCTACCTAGGTAGCTTGCCAGCGGGACCAACGACGCCATAGGTCATTCCTGCCATGAGCCATGGCGGGGACCTTCCCAACTGGTGACTTACAAATACAACTGAATCTTGTTCCGAAAGATGCTGTACACTTGACTTGGTGAAGACAATGATATGCAACGGAGTCATGGACAGTGATACTGTATGTTCTGGTTGTGCCTGGTCTTGTCAGGGAAATTCTACAGATCGAAAGTGTGAACTGCGAAGCTGTTGCAATCCGATGATCAAAGGGATGATGCCCACCAGCATATAGGGTAACAGGCGCATCAGATGGTGTACACCTAACGAGAAATGCCACTTTGGGTTCTACCGCGCAATTGATTATTCTGATATTTACCTCTATTCAAGTTCTCTTGCAGCCCATGGAAGGAAGATTTGATTGACTGCGAGGCACCTGTATATAATAGTAGGGGTAAGACAAGAGATAGAGGTAGAGGTATGTATGCAATGTTCCGCCATACGTCCCCGCCCTCCATCATTTCCATTTCCAGCTCTTTCTCTGTTTAGACATCTGCAACCGCTTTGTGTAGGTAGGCATGGACAGTCACGCTGTAGAAGTAGGAATGCCGTAGTAGTGTCCTTCCGGAACGACCACAGGACCAATCTCCTTCATCGGTACCCACGAGCAGCGATATACCTCTAGTAGATAGGGCATGGCTTCGGGTCCTTGTGATTTCCAGGAACTTGACAGACCATTTTGAAGTTCCCGGGTTAGGTCAGTTGAGGGTGCTCGTAGCTGCCTCGCTGCCACTGATTTGCAGCTGCAAGTCGGGCAGCCTCTGTCCTACGAGTCCGATGCCGCGACTTCTACCCCACGTTTTCCCCAAGTTAGGGCCTCGAGGTTGTTAGTGACGCGCTCTGATCTACCCATATCGACCTTATACCAAGTACCAACGAAGGAGAACCAATGAATGGCCTGGTTTGCCGCCCGGAATGGGTGATGAGGATGGATTAAAGCTTCCGCCATGCCTGCGTCGATGTCGATCCGGACGTGGCATGGGCCCGAGCTCAAACCGTGACGAATATAGCCATTCACAAGCTGTTGATTTGGGTTCTAGCTGGGTCTAAATGCTAAATTCTCCCCTAGAGAGGCACGTACCTACCTCTCAATTCCTGTTGCGTATGTTGTGTTCAGTTGTTCCTCCTCGTCTCTTTGCACTTGTATCATGCAACACTCACCCTGGCTCTGTGTACCTGTAGGGAAATGGGATCATACATGTCTAAATGTCCCTCAGATGAAGCGACGAGTTTCTACCACATTGCATTGACTATACACTACTGAGCACACTTCAGGTCAGGTCGCACACCATCACTCAAACTTGTTCATGCATCTCGGATTCAGAGCATTGGATAGTATCTCTGCTCCTCGGATGGACCACCATCTTGCACATGGCTTCCGTGCCATCGTAAAAGGTATTGTACCGCGCTAGCTTTCTATCCTTGAACCCGAGCTACCAACCCACCCATCTCGCAAAGCCCAGATGCGGAGGGGTGCTCTTGTCGTGTTCCATACGGTGATTGTTTTCATTACCTTGATGTCTTCACAGCGTTTGTCTCGTTCCTATGTGTATTTCTCATGTACCTCTAGCTACTCCACACTACGGGAACTTGGCTCCTCCTCAAGCCGTTTCCACTTGCTCGCACTGCAGTCACACTGCACATCACTTCAGGTTCAGGCTCTGAGTAAGAGCGAGTTAACATAGACGCCCCGGCTTTCGTTTACTCACACTTCGTGACCCAAGAGCATTCATCCAAGTTGGCTTCCACCTCATCCTTTCACAGCGAGGTATTTCTAGTTGGTAGCAGCACGGGAAGTCAAAAATTTCATCGCGCATGGCACAAGGATGGAAGGAACTCGGGCGTTAAGGTGCTTTGCCAGGTGGATGGCCTAAAACGAGAACAGGTCGCGTGTGTGTTCCGCCTCCATTCTCCCCCTCCCCTCCTCGGCTCCTACTAGGAGCTTCCACCACGCAGAAGCAAGGCAAGTCCAAACGGCTCAAGGCACCTTCCTTACTGTAGCGAGCGGTCAGAACCGGGCTCTCACTGCAGGCCGCTAAAACGGTATTGTTGCCGGCCGCCAAAAGTTCCATTGAGTTAAAAAGAACCTCCAAAAAAAGTCTGCTTTCAAGCGAAAACCCCCCCCCCCCCTCTCTCTCCTCGTCTGGCCGCCCCGAGCGACCACCCACCTTCGTTTCTCCGACGTCGCCCCTCAAGGTTCCACGTCTTGGTAGATCCTTGACAGATCCTCAACCTCGCATCTGGTTCTGCTGGTCTCCAGTGCATCGAGAAATCCAAGTTCCGTTCCATCGGTTCTCGACCACCAAGCGTCCACTGCGCTGTCGCGTGGTGTTTGGACAAAGTCTACCTCAATACCACTGTACACTTCGCTACACTAAAAAGTCGACGGTTCCTCCCTCCGTTTCCGTCACGACCGCCACCACTTGTCAGACCATCCCGCCTGCCGCCGCCTGTCGAGATACACCGTCGTATTTTTATTTTCATTTTTTTCTTTCTTTTTTTGTTGTCCTCATCTTCTCTTGCGAAAGACGCACCATCTCCGAGTACTCTCCGATTGCCCATCTCGGGTCTGCCTTCCACTTCTCCAAGTGTGTCCTGCACTCGACGCACTCTTTTCCGCACGACCAGCTTTTTAGACCCCCCATCGATTCGCACCTTCTCGGCGCATCCCGGTGGCCCTTCGTCATTCCAGTAATCCTCCGAGCTTCTACCCGTCCTATCTTTCCGATCATGCCGCTCACCGCGCGCTAAAAGCTCCGGGACACTACTCTCTTCAACGACGATCCGGATATTTCAACGTACCGAGCGCCGTTTCTTTGTCGACATTCCGAAAAAAACCCCTTCACGCGCGCCTCGTAGTACACGTCCCCATTCAACCTACCTACAAAGATTTGGCAAGGAATTGGTCGCTCTACCGACCTGTTGGGAGCTCTGCAAGATGGCGGCTAGCAATACTAGTAGTGGTAATCGGTCAATGGAATCCCGGACTGGGCGTACCAAGCAACGTGAGTTCTAGATGCCCACTCTAGTCTTGACAAATACACGAGCATCCACTCCTTGCCAAATGCGGTCTTGGCATCCAGATGGCAGGAGGCAGGAGCTGTGCTTCCGCCGCTTGTGGTCGGTCCAACTGACCCTCCCCTTTGTAGGATACAATACGAAAGGCGAACGACTGGTTGCCGGCGTTGTCCCTTTGAGTGCGGACAAGTACTACGTCATGTTGATCCAGTCCACACGTCGAAAAGGTTGGGTGTTGCCCAAGGGCGGATGGGAACTTGACGAGGAATGTCACGAGGCTGCTGCCCGTGAAGCCTGGGAGGAGGCCGGTATCGTGGTTCAGATCAACTATGACTTGGGTGATATTCAGGATACCCGCCCTCCCAAGAAAAATCCTCTCAAGGAGAAGGAGCGCTCGCTCTACCGATTCTTCGAGGCCACCGTCACCAGCGAGGAACCTGAGTGGCCCGAGAAGGACAAACGTGAGCGCAAGTGGTACACATACGCTGAAGCCACCGAGCTGTTGAAAGAACGGCCGGAACTTCAAGCAGCTCTAGATTTGTCGACGATCAAGAGGTAGCCTTGGTACCGCCATACTTGGGGGCGATAGTGTCGCTCTCCGCTGTCTCGGGAGCAGTGTGTGCAAGGAGACAGTTCCGCGAAGGGGTACTGAGGCTTATTGCTGACGTTCCGACTTACTGCGTCTTGATCTTCCTACCATATGGGACTCTAAAGAGCAAAGCAACACAATATCTCTGGTAGTAGCGAGAGTCCAAAATCCATCCCAATATGGCGACCATTTGGATACAGCTTGGAGTGCGTTTTAAGTCCCCAGTTCTCAGCCAGCGCAATCTTGTGTCTTGTTCTTCCCCATGGTCTATCTCTGCTTACCTCCCCGAGATGGTGCGCGCAGGTCAGCCTGGTTGGAACTGTAGCTGCTTCGGCAGTCGTTCCTGCTTAAGGTCGCAGAAGATCGATGCTTTCATCAGCTTCGCGCGAATTTTGAGATACATCGTTCGAAGCAACGGATAACATGGTTTTGACCGAAACTGGCCTGTTTGGGAGGCAACCAATGTTTCTTTGTCTTTTGAGATTTAAAATCTCTCCCCTTTTCTTCGTATATTATCTGCATTCATGTTTGGGCGTTTACGGGAGGCCTATAGAGTCGCATTTGGTTCTCTTATGTAAGAATGGGCAAGAGAGAAGGGAAACATTGGGTGGCTCTACTCAGGTTCGGTAGACTATAGCGGCGTAGGTGGGTGGTGATCTGATGACTTTATCCTATAGGTACACACGCAAGGAAACAGCAGAACATCAAGACAGGATAGTGCAAGACTTGCGAACATCACGTCAACGGATATAATATCCTAACCCCTTTATATCCGCTCCGCCCTCGCTATACAGGCTTCACAAGAGATGATGGAAGACGCAGAGCTGACGCTTACGCTCCCGTACAATAACTCATCTTCTCTTATCAACAGTCATCCGAAGACCCGGTAGGCTAACTGTCATAATGATCGCATGCAGTGCCCTTGTTCCTTCTCTAGTTTCGCCGACCCCGAAAAAGTATTCAAGGCTTGGTAGGCATGATCAGACCAGTATCACATTCTAGAACACAGCTGCACAAAGAATGAATCTCATCATTCATCCCTTGGACCAAAGATCATCGAGGTGCATGATTCCGAGTTATTTGTCACATAGGCACACGGCTGATCATACATGCGACATCCATCCGACTACGTGAGGTCCCATTAGATTACTGACCTAGTTCAAGAACTTCAGAAATCCCGCGAGGGCAGGTATGGGGACATTGGAGGTTTAGCATGGCTTCGGCTGGGGTTCGTGCCCGGTATTTGATATTAAGAAGTCCTCTACCATGACAATACTCATGACACAGAGCTACACGATATACACACAAAGTGCTGTTCTGCGACCTGCTTGACTGTCGCCTCAACCTTGGCATCCCAAGGGGCTTATTACAGCCCATTCCTGAACTTATTCAACTGACTAATCAGCCCATACCCACTCAACCCTTTACTGTCCGTCTGTATCTGTGACGATGTTGGCGATAACGCCTGCTCCGCCTCTCCTCCAACAACCCTCCTCAAAGCCGCCTCAGCATCCGTCCTCCCACCAACCGCATCCCCCCTTTCCTCGCAGCACCACCGCTCTCCAAATCCTTCACCAGAGCTGCATGCCTCTCCTCCACCATTCTCGCCAACCCCTCCACAAACTTCAACCTCCCCCGCTCCTCCGCCGTGCCCTTCCATACTTTCACTAGCTCCTTCAACTCACTCACCCGCTTCGCGGCTTCCTCGATCCCCTTGATGGGATCATTATCGTCGTTGTTCTTATCCTGATTACTCTCTAAAAGGGAAGAAATCTCGTCCCGAAGCGCTTGCAACACCTTTTGCCCCTTTTCTTCGGTACTGGCTACCGAGTCGGGGTCGCCGCCGAAGCCAGAGACAAAAGAGTCAGGAGGTGCGGGCGCGGATACGGATAGGAAAGAAGAGACGGCTGAAATTTCCGAGGGCGGGAAGACGAAGTCGATGGCGAAACCGAAGGTTTGGATTACCGAGTCGAGTCGGGAGCGAACAAGCGTCAAGGTACGGAGCTGGGTTATGTGTGGGGGTTCTTGGGGTTCTTCCTTTTCGGCTGTTGCTGCCGACACTTCTGCAGGTGTTTCCGGCTGTGGTGGTCGTTGATGTTGTTGTTGTTGTGATGATGCTACGGCAACTGATAGACGTCGTTGATGAGCTCCCCCCTCTGTGCTACCACCGGGAGTGGTTGCCGGTGCAGGTGCGGGTGCGGGTGCTTCCGGGATGGAGATTCCGCCAGGCACGAACTTGGCTACGTCCTCTTGCAACCCCTCCGTGAGAGTCTCAGCCAAGCTAAGCGTCTCGCCGCGCAGGAGCTCTACCTCGTAGGCTAGCCTGCTGCCACTCCGGAGGATGTCATCGGTGAGTTGGGTGAGAGTGTTGGTGAGTCTGGTGGTGTGCGCGTTAAGCTGTGAGAGCACAGATTGCGCCTGGAGCGAGACTTCGGATAGTGGCACGGCTGCTGCGGCGGTTGTGGTGCCTTGGTTAACAGCAGATTGCGAAGCTAATAACGATGATGAAGAAGAAGAAGAAGAAGACCCCGCAGAAGTCTGGAGAGGCGGCAGTTTGGCGTTGAGGTAGGCTGCGGCGTCGAAGGATGGACCGAGGAAGTCGTGGAGAAAAGGATCGGCGACGTGAGCGGACTTGGGCTGGGTGGGCGGTCTGGGTCCTTGGCGAAGGCCGCGTGAGGTATTGGAGGCAACGCTGTTGCCTCGTCGTCGGCCTGTTGTTGACTTAGAATCCCATGCCATTGCGACTTGAGAAAGAGAGGGGTGAGGTTTGAAGTTATCGTCTAATCGGGGCAGGTTCAGGGGGTAGACCGTGGATGCTGGAACTGAAGATGAGCTGAGATTATTGCAGGTCCGATCGGATAGATATGGCGTGAGTTAAGATTGCGCTCCCTGAGCTACGTGCCACTTGGTGACGAAAGTTATCAATATGTTGATCTCAGAAGCCGGTGTTGATGCGCGACAGTGAGAGCTGTGATGAAATGTCCTGGCATGAGCGTTAATGGTGGGGCAAGTAACCTACCATTGACCAAGCTGTCAGTAGTAGACCCGACGGCCGGTGTCTTGGCTGTCAGCTGCTGTTACAAGATTACAGTCGATACGGGTATCTTACACCTGTTAGTACTGGATATCTTACAGAGAGGACCTTCGCGAAATTCATCACTGATGAAGATACACTACAAGAGAACGACGGGCAAGAAACTCTTTACTTTAACGTGTCAGTAGGGACCAAGAATACATGAGATATACACTCAAACAACTGGCACCCAGGTCTAATCCGCGTCTTTTCCAGAGACATGATGGAGATGAGCTTCTTCACAACGAGAATGCCAAATCGTTGTTGGATGCTGAAAAACGACTGAATGAAGTGAAGAGAAGCCAGGATACCCTCTGAAAACAAGACAATTGCTATTTATTAAGAGAACTGACGGTAGGTGTTGACTGGTGCTCACCACCTGTTATGGCAACTTGCAGTGTGGATTGTAAAGTAAACAAACCCCTGAACGAAGCGTTTACTTAGCGCACCCCGGGGTGTTTCTGGCTGCCGGCCGTTACTTTGGGAGCTTCAGAAGCTGCCTCTTTTCAGCCTCAGTGCACCCCACCTGCATTTTGGGGGTACTGAGTACATGCAAGCAACTGTGCAGGCGTCAGGCTGAGCGGCCCCTCCAAAAATTCAGATCTAAACATCATTGCATTTTCACTGACGGCGGAACTTGTCAACCTCCTCCAGCTCGATTTCCAAAAGGCGAAATACCGATTCAGTCATTCGCTGTGTTGCGACCTTCCATCGCCATTTAAACCAATCGCAAATATACATTTCAAAGCACTACGCGCAAGGGACCTGCGTCGCATAGAAGGGGCAGAGTAAACAAAAGCAAGAAACCCAGAATTTACAAATCTCGAAATAAGCATGGCGTCCTCACAGCACGTCCTGCTTTCGCCGGCGGAACTCGCCTACCTCCACGCTTCACTCAGCCTCACGCCTCCTATCCGCCCGGACGGCCGTTCTCCTACACAGTTCCGCCCCCTCGTCGCTGAGACAGGCATTCTCCCTGGCACTAATGGCAGCGCACGCATCTGCTTCGCCGACGGTACAGAGGCCATTGTTGGCGTTAAGGCGGAAGTCGAGAGGACGAGGACAAGACACGATTTCCCCTCGCTAGATGAAAGTGCTGAGGACGATGATGACTTGGACGACAATCAGAACGACGTGGTGAAGGGTGACAATGACTGGGTAGAGATGACGGTGGAAATTCCCGGGTACAGAGACGACGACGCGGGGACTGTTTTCCTCTCCGCCATGCTTAGCGAAGCGCTGTTGGCGGATGGCGAGTTCACGAAGAGGCTGTGGATCAACCAAAGGTTTCACTGGAAGCTCTACCTTGACGTATGTCTTCATGTTCTCTGTCTGCGTTCCGCAACCAACAGCCACTAACATCAAGTTCTGACGACAGATTCTTCTGATCTCCCCGCCGCTTTCATATCCCCTCCCCCTCCTTTCCCTAACCACACATCTCGCCCTCCTCGCGGCCCGTCTCCCACGCCTAAAGTCCGAAGGCGACGAAGATCCCCTCTTCGACGACGACTGGGCTGCCGCTCCCTACCTCTACCCCAGACCTTCAGAGAAGGGTTCCAAAGCGACGGCCCCAGCCCCCGCTGCCAGGCCACCCGTCACCCTCCTCGTCATGGCCGTTGGTAACAACATCATCTTCGACCCTTCTAAGGAGGAGCTAGCCGTCGCCGACGTTGCGCTGGCCGTTTCCGTTGGCGAATCTTCCTCCTCCACCACTTCTACGACCAGCAGCAAACCCACAGCAATGGACATCGACACTGAAGAGACAAAAGGACACAACCTCCGTCTTCTATCGGTGCGAACAATCGATCCCCCTTCGCGATTGACCCCTCCTGGTATTCCCAACGCAAGCAATAGTGCTTATGGAGCGAATGCGGGCGCGAAGGATACCGAGAAGAAGAAGCAGCAGCAGGAACAGGCGAGGACAGCCGAGTCTGAGGCCGTCGAGGGTGTGTGGAAGGCACCGAGAGGCGGCGCCAAGACGTTGGTAATGGCTACGATGGTGCAGAAGGTGTTGGAGAAGGGAGGCGTGGCCGATGAGGTGTTGGATGCGCTGGATGGGGTTGATTTGAACTGAAGGTTGAAACTAAGCTAGTGGCACTACTATCTGGTTGCCGAGGAACGCCAGGGTATATCGGCCAGGGTCGCAAAGCACGCTTCGCTACTTCTTGTCCGGTTACCGTTCAGGCACATAGGTCTGTTGTGTTCGGAATATCGGAAGAGGCTCAGAGCTTGGGCGTGTACATGAAAGAGGCATATCCACTCGTGTATCGTATAAATTGCGGGAGCCTTGGCCAGTCACACTCAAGAGTTGCAGTACGTGGCGTGCTCGGGGAGCAAGATAGATGGAGGCTTGATGATAACTCAAAACAAGATACCCCTATTCCAAAATCTAACGCTAAACATGCTTTTCTGTGCCCGCTGCCCGTTAAGTCATTAATAACACTTAATCGTACACATAGTCATCACAAGCATCTCCTCTTCCGTAGACTATACCTCTTTCCATTCCACCTTCTTCCGGAGACAGCCGCGGGGTAGCGTGATCGGAATCACAGCGCTAATACCACGCTATGATTGCCCACGCCCCATTCCCTCATTTCCATCTCAAGCCGCAAGTTCCTTACACCACCTTCACTTCCGCCTCAAGTTACCAACGGCCCATTACTGCTTCTCCTGCTGCTGCGGCTCTGCCTTAGCGGCAGACGCTGTAGCCTCCGGTTCCAACACCCCTCTCGACACGCTAGCAATCCGCTCCGGTTCCTTCAGCTTGATGAAGCCCGCAATGCCCTGCTCCTCGGGCAGGCCGTGCGCCTTCCTATACATGGTCCGCTTGGCTACATCGTCGATGGCCCGCTGTCTCCTGGCCGAGATCTCGGCGGACTTGTGCGCCTCGTGCAGCCGGATGACATGGCCCAGGTGACTGAAGGAGTCGATAGGGTGGCTGAAAAAGTCACCGCGGGCAGGGAGCATGTCGGCGAAGGGAGAGGTGCGCTTGAAGTTCTCGGTTGCGGTGTAGATGGCTATGGCGAAGAGGGACCCCTTTTTGTTTCCCATGTAAGTTTTGATTCTGAGAGCTTGGAGAGCTGGGCCATCGTGAAAGGGAAAGAACAAGCAGGGGTTGAGCTAGATGGGATGAATATGTACATACCAGGGTCAAACACATGTGAAACCACTTGTTATTCCAGAACCACCACCCGAAGGTTCCCTCGCCGGGCATCAGGCCCGGGTATTCCTTTTGCGCCTGGGCCTGCTTCTCCTGGAAGCTGAGGTCGCCGCCATAGTGCCGCGGGACGTTTTTCTTGCTGGGGAGTCGGGAGCCGTGTGAAGGAGGGTTGAAGCGCTCGGGTTTCGCGAGGACGCGCTGGCCGGATGGCGTTGTGTTGGCTTCCGCTGTTGACTTTGTGGATGCGAGACGGCGCTGGATAAGCTTTTGGGTGGGCCGTTGCCAGATGCGCCCGTACTGTGGGAGGAGAAAGCGGGGGATCATGGTGGAGGTTGCTGACGACATGGTCTGTGTTATTGTTCTTCCCCTTCTGGTCCCTATGTGCGCCCAGCTGCGTGGCTACAACAGCAGTACAGCTACTCCAGTCAAGATTTTGGGTTTGGGATTTTGCTAGTGGTACTGATGCGCTTGCGTGTTTTGGACGACAGGCCGTACCGCATCAGGTCGCTGCTGTATGGGTGTGGGGTCGGGCTGCCGAATCGCAAAGGTGGGATTCCCCGGCGGCGACGTGGATGGCCGGGTGTTGTGGATCGGGCAGTCGGGGTCGGAAGGGTGCCCAGAAGTCGGACGTGGTTCTTCTTGCGGCTCAATCGGTCAATCGGATGACCACGGGCAACATGACACAAGAAATTGCCGCTAGCATGCTGCATCAAAAAAAAAAAAAAATTGGATGACGAGATTGGGTGGCATGGGTGGATGGCCTTCGCGATGACATTCCTCTACCTGATGGGGCTAGCGCGGGCCGTCGGTTGTACATATTGTACGTAGAGGTATTGTGGTTTGGATCGTAATCGCAGTTCTTTCAGGCACAATTCGTCTGTCCGCAAATCATTGTGGCTTCTGTGGGGCCATTTCCGACTTTGCCCGTCCCCGACCCGGCAAGCCATGGCCGTCGAAGAGCGCCTCTGACTAACGTTGGGCACGTCATTGGCCAATGTGCTGTATGAGACCCGCCTTCTCCAGCCTCAGGCTGTGGCTCCGGTCCACGTCTTGGCCAAGGTCATCGTCAACGAAGGTGCTCGAGATTGCGAATGCCACATGGGATTGGCTGAAGGGCGTTGCCAGCGAGTGGTTGCCAGCTGTGAGCGCATTGAGGACTAAAAAAAAGCTGGATCAAGATCCTCAGCGTGTTTGCGGTGTTCAGCCAGCCAGCTTTCTGGAGACAGCGAGCGCGGACACCGGGGGGAGGCTGGCTTGCATGGATTGCACGCTGCAAAACGGTACCCAGGTATTGACTGGCGCCGTGTGGCCGGGATCCCGTCACTTTCCACTCTTGGTTTGCAACTTTTTTGTTCCTACTATTTCTTACGCCTCACCGGAGCTTTTTCTTCCTCTTCCTTTCCCCTTTCCTGTTCTCAGTCATCTCAACTTCCAGTATTCCCTATACACCTTTGCGGTTTTAACGCTTCCTCACAAACCAATCAGTCAAAATGGGCTTCTCTGCCGGTATGTATCCCACTCTCATCTCCTCACCCACGCCATGATGCGCACGCGCTCTCTTTCTTTTATTGTTGTCTCGGCGGTCCGGCTTCGTCAACGTCATCCGCCCGTCCGCCGGTCTTAGCTTCGCTGGTTGAGCCATTGGGTGTTCGCAATGTCCACATGAGTTGAAGAGGCTACCACCCCTCGGTCACGGCTTCTTCAGCATCTCCATGGACAGGACACCTCGAGCATGGCCTCGGTTTGCGATCCCGACATTGCGATAGTTGCGCGGCATTTTCTCCTTGTTTCGTAAACACGATCACTTGACGGAGCGAAATTGCACCGTCATGGGAGATGGGCCACGTCGGCTTGACGCCACGGAGCATGTCTTGCCCTACGACATACTTCCCTCACCCCCATCTACCAGATCTCCAGCCATCAAGGTCTTGTTCCTGGACATCACGACCACGACAGTCGAGGCCGAGACTACCGAGACAATATCAGAATGATCAGAGCCGCGCTTTGCTATCTTGCCGATAAACAGCCGTTCTAACCTAAAACTTGCACACAGGTGATTCCAAGAAGGGTGCCAACCTCTTCAAGACCCGTTGCGCTCAGTGCCACACCCTTGAGGAGGGCGGCGGCAACAAGATCGGCCCCGCTCTCCACGGCCTCTTTGGCCGCAAGACCGGCTCCGTCGACGGCTACGCCTACACCGATGCCAACAAGCAGAAGGGCATCACCTGGGACGAGAACACTCTCTTCGAGTACCTCGAGAACCCCAAGAAGTACATCCCTGGTACCAAGATGGCCTTCGGTGGTCTCAAGAAGGACAAGGACAGGAACGACATCATCACGTACGTCATGCGCTGCTCCCCTATATATGTCACTCAAAAAATATGCAAAGCTAACTCGACCTCACTCCAACAGCTTCATGAAGGAGGCTACTGCTTAAATGCAATCTATGTGATGATGGGCGTTGTTCTTGAGGAGTTATGGGACTGTATTAATAAAAAGGGAGATTTTTTTTGCATTAGACGGGCTTGGCACATCCCTCTTCGTTGTTGGACCATAGACTAGACGACTTGTGCTCGGCGATTCTTGGTTGTTTTTCGACGACCACGATATCTCAAAACCTCCTCTGTATGAAGTTACGAAGAAATACCCCATTCCCCCTTACACCCCCTTTCTTGATCCCGTTCCTGCTGGGTATGTATGGTTTGGTGCTTGACGGTCACGCGAGATTGAAGGCGACAGAGTAATCACTGGTCAGCTTCTTTGAGCGTTTAAAAGCAAGGCAGGCATGTTTCAGATTTGGTGATGATGTTATAAAGAATGGAGGATTGTCATATCTAACTGCATTCAAAATACAATAAAGCATCTCCGCTCACGCGATAATTTACATCTACCAAACCGTCCCATGACTTGTGGGACTTGTGGAATTTGACGGCTTCATCTCGCAACATGCCTACCATAATCGGCAATTTTCATGTTTCCGATACCCAAATAAATCTATAGGTATAATTAAAGCATCAAGACCATTTTTTATAAACCCAAGAACGCCATGTTGCAATCCCTTCTCATCTGCTAATCAATATGGACATATTTTTCCGGATCTTTCACACTAGGCTTCACCTCGTTCAGCGCCTTCTCCCAGTCCTCCGGAGTGATGACCGGGTTAGCCACCATATCCGTCACCTTCTCCTCCTCCGTTGGCGTACCACTCTCCTTATTAGACTGGTACATCTGGCTCAGGTAAGCCCTCTCCAAACAAGCCTGGGCAGCCGCCTGCATCAAGTTGCCCAGATCGGCACCCGAGAAGCCGGTGCAGCGCAAATCAAGCGCAACACGCTCCAGCTGCTTCTCTGCCTGCTGCATGGTCTCGTCCATAGCGGCCGCGGTGGCCGAGGGCGTTTGTTGGCCTGGCAGGACAGCGCCAGAGCCGCCATCGATATCCATTACGTCTCCCTCCACAGCGGGTGTCGTAGTAGGCGTAGGACGAGGAGGAGCAGCAGCCGCCTGGGAAGCCTTGGCCCTCGCAATCGAGTTCCTGTAAAGTGTCCGGAGAATGTCCACCCGATCCTCGGCGCTGGGTAAGCCGACGTAGATGCTCGTTCCCAATCTTCCCGGTCTTCTGATCGCCTCGTCAATGATGTCCGGCCTGTTCGTAGCGCCAATGACGTAAATACCGCTGCGGTCGCCAACACCGTCAAGCTCCGTGAGCAGGGTGTTGACGACGCGGGCGCTGGCGTCGGAGAGCGAGTCGTCGCGCTTGGGCACCAGGGCGTCCATCTCGTCGAAGAACAAGATGCAGGGGGCCGAGGACTTGGCGCGCGCGAAAAGCTGGCGGACTGCTCTCTCGGATTCGCCCACATACTTGTTCAGCAACTCGGGACCCTTGATGGAGATGAAGTTGGCTTTGGACTCGTTGGCTACGGCCTTGGCTACCAGCGTCTTACCGCAACCTGGAGGACCCCAGAGCAAAATGCCGGCGGCCGGTTTGATGCCCACCTTGGTGAAGAGTTCGGGCCGCTTGATGGGGCCGATGATGCTCATCTCGAGCTTCTTGCGGACTTCGTCCAGAGCGCCCACATGCGCCCACGTGGTGTCGGGAATCGTGCTGAAGCCTTCACGCTTGGAGGCCGGCTGCACGCGGGAGACGGCGAGGCGGAATTGGGCCATGGTGATGCAGCTGTCGGACCATGAGGCTTGGCGGTGGTCCTCGAGGAGGAGCCAGTCGCGCTGTTTTTGGGAGATGCCGGTGAGGGTGTCGTCGAGTTCCTTTTGAATCTGTTTCTGTTGCTCTTCGTGGCCCTCGGGGGAGTCGGAGGTGATAGCGGCAGTGGCGGCTTCTGCAGCGGCAGCGCGCAGTTGGCGCGCCTTTTCAAGGAGGGCATCGAGACTTCCACGGAAGGATTCGGACACGGCGGCTTTGACGACGTACTGCAGATCAGAACCGACGTAGCCGGGTGTTAGCTTGGCAAGCTCGGCGAAATTGACGTCGTCGGCCACGTTGAGGTCGCGAGAGAGGGACTTGAGGATGTGCTCGCGGGCGCGCTCGTTGGGCATGCCCATGTCGATCTCGGCGCTGAAGCGGCGACGGATGGCGGGATCCAAAAAGTCCGGACGGTTGGTGGCGGCCAGAACGACGACATTCTTGCCAAGGGGTGTCTGCTGCTTGATGCGGTCCATGCCGTTCATGATTTCCGCTACGATGCGGCCTTCCATGCCCTTATTAGCGCTCTCACGCTTGCCAGCAATGGCGTCGATTTCGTCGATAAAGATGAGGCACGGGGCGAGACGGATCGCTTCATCGAAGACATCACGGATATTTTTTTCTGACTCGCCCGAGGTGCCGCCGACGATGGAAGGCGCAGAGACGGGGATGAAGGCGGCGCCAACGCTGCCAGCCACGGCGTGAGCGAGCGTGGTCTTGCCGCAGCCCGAAGGGCCGTGGAGGAGCACGCCATTGTCGTAACGGTATCCCATCTTGGCGCAGGCCTCACCCGCACAAAGCGGGAACCACACCTCGTGTAGAAGCTTGTCCAAGGTATCATCCACACCGGCAATGTCCTTGATGGAGATGCCCGTGGGCGGCGACCGGTCGACCTCCTTCTCCTTCGATATCTTCTCCGCCTTTCTCTTCTTTCCCCTAGGCTCTCCATTCGCCTGTCTCTCAGATGATCCTGGACCTACAGCAACCGCTCCGAGTCCGGGGGTTTGTGGAACTGAGCCCGCTCCCCCTTCACCAGCGGCACCCGCCTCCCCTCCGCCATTTTCCACCACCGCCACACCTTCACCACTCACTGCCGTCGTCGCAGGCAGCTTCGGCGCGGCCAAACCCCACGCCTTCGCAATCTGCTTGTTCAGAAACCCTGTAGCCGTCGCCTCGGCCGACTTGTTTCTCTTGGCCGCTTCGGCCTCCTCCGCCGCCTCGATTGCATCGTCCGAATCCTCGACCGCGTCCTTTTTGGCCTCCTCTCGTCGTAAGTCGAGCACCCGCTCGATGGAGTCCTCCAGTAGTTTCTTCTTTTGGCGTGCAAGACTCGAGTTGGACCGTTTTATTGAGTCGTAAACGGATGAGACTGAGAGCCCTCGCCTGCTCGACAGGTTTTTGCTGTTCTTGCCTTCCTTCTCGATGATGGCCTCTCGCCTGTCTTCCTCCTCAGCCTCCAGTTTCAGGACAAGCTGGTAGACATCGCGGTCGATGCCATGCCGTAAATTGGCACGGCCAGGCATTTTGTGGAAAGTGCCCGTTGCTATATTATGGTGGCGGCAACTAACGGCTGATGGATTTATTGTGAAAATGAAAGGGTGAAGTCAGGTTGGGCGGGAAGGTGAAGTAACTTGAAGTGTAAGTTCAACAAGAAAGGGAATGAAAAATTGTTAAAATGACAAGGGTTAGGGTTTGGTAGGCGCACAACAACGTCAACCATCTACTTGTCCTGCCACTGATACAAGTTCAAGACAAGGAGCCAAACCGATAGATATCGCCTAGCTTGCTGCTCGGGTTCATTGAATACATTGGATCTGCTCCACGAATGATTGGTTTTGCTAAACTTTATGAAGTTGACTATTTGTACAGTGAAGGGGATGAGCGGAATTGAACCTTTGCTGCGCTGAGCGCTGTAGAGTTCAAGCTCAAGCACGGACCCTCTGGACAAACTTTCTAGCCCCGTGGTTAGTTTCTTTAGCAGCTATACCATCGATACAAACTTCGTGGCTCTGCGACATCGTACAAATAGACAGACACAATCGCAATACCCAGCCACAGCCAGGACATTGTTTTTTGGTCTTTGATCGCTCTAATTGCATTCGCTACGATGTCCCAAGGTCCTTTCCCTGGAGTCTGTTTCATAAACAGACCCGATCAATTACACACCTCTCACAAGTGTGCTGAGTGGGAGATACGCCCGAACACTTTACTTCAACTGAACCATAAAAAATAAACGCCGTTCCAGACAAGCTTGTCGCTGTCGTATGCACCATCTCCTTTCCCTGAGGTAGATCCTCTGAGATAAAACCAAATAATATGAACCTCCTTCTCGATGCAGATCAGCCGAGATGTTATCCCTTGCAAGATATATCTTGCGGACCTGCTGTATGCGACTTTGTTCCGCAATGCCGATACGCAGACATGATTTGTATGTGTTACCCTGAAATATCTCCCCGTATACACTGCGCCATTCAAATGATGCGTAGTCTCCCAACTCCTCACGGTACTGAATGTTGTGACGCATAACCCAGCACTATGCACCTCTAAAGAATGGATGCTTTCGCACAAGAATCGACAGATACCATTCGCCGATGGTGGCCGGTTCTTTTTTTCTGGGTTGTGTAGCGACGACGCTAATGGTCTTCCATGGCCTTGATGCGTTTCTTCAAGAATTCGAATGACGAGAAGAAGACGGCGTTAACAGCACAAGACCGGGCCATTGATACACCAAGACCGCGATACATGTTGCGCTGGAAAAAACGAATCTTGACGGGCTCGACCTTTTCGCCTTTTGAATACATAAGCGAGTTGCGTTGATAAATGCTCTTGGCTGAGTCGACCGGGTCTAGAGAAAGGTTTCACAGTTAGTTTCATCTGCACACCATGATGATCCGGGATCTCGGCTTACAGATTAATGCCCAAGAGACTATTCCGCACATGCCACCGGCGATCAACACTGCGAAGGGGTTGTTATGGGTGCCAGCCCCGCCAAAAGTAGTAAGCAGCTGTTTGCTGCTTTCGTAAGTAATGAAGTACATGGCGGTACCGAGGGTATCTCGGGCTATTGCATCCGACCTAGTTAGTATCTTCTGAAACCATAGAATCGCAAAGAATTACCCACTCAAATGCAAGCCGAATCCTGTGTAAAGACCGCCTAGCCCTCGGTGCTTCACAATGTTTCCCATTGTCTTCAGAGTTCCCTTGTTTTGGTAACTCGCAGCAATGGCATGGCTTCCCGGTTTTAGGCAATTCTTCTTGTCTGCCATTAAAACTGAAACTTGCGCGCTGAGCTTAGTCAATTCGAATGGGCCTATAGTATTTTCGTAAGCACAGCGTTAGCTTTCGCTTTTAAGGATTCCTCCAAAAGAGGTTCTTCGGTTGTTGCACACAGACTTACAAGCTATCAAAGTTATGCACGATCCGGCCGTTGCGCCAGCGGCGCCAAAGGTGGCAACAGTCCAGAAATTGGGCAACGACCCGTGGGAGGCGACATGGCTCATGACATCAAAGCCAAAGTGGCGTTTGACCCAGTCACTATATGCGTATTTAGAGCGCTGATAGATGGAAAACGACACAGTCCGTACCGCAGTTATGCTGAGCATCGGGGCCGTGACGCCTAAGTCATTCAAGGCAGAAGTCAGGAAATTGGCACTACTAACCCCGGGCAAGGTGCCGGGAAAGGCGCAATAACCTACCTCGAAAGAAGCCCCTGAGCCTCTCGGTGTGATATGTCTGCTTGACACAATCGACAAATCCGGCATATTTGTACGTCTGCATCCGTGTCTTGACGCTGTCCAGGGGGAACGTGGACATGGTGGACAGCACGCTCGAGGCTGAAGCGGCAACCTCGGTGCGGTATTTCTTCGCCAGTCGTTGTGTGCTGTTCCAAAACTGCCCATCGCTACTAGGACCGGCATTCGTGAGGCTACTCGTGCTCGTGCTGGTACCCCCATTCGAGCCATCTTTAGAGTTCCCTTTCAGCGATGTACTGTTCTCCTGGTTGTTGCTCTGTTGAGACATGATGGGGAATGATGGTGCAAGGCGACGGTGGCCAGCGGTTGGGCCATTGTTCGATATACTGCTGTCGTCGAGGAGGGCGTTATCGGCAGCTGGAAGGGTTGCTGTCGCGCGCATACTTGATGATAATCTCGTGGCGCGCGAAGTCGCCCCTTGTCGTAGCTCTAATCTCGTATGTGATTTGCAAAACGGAGGACTGCCCTTTGCCGGAGATCAACTCGGAAGAGGCCCGTCCGGCTAGACAGTGGTCTCGTCGATCGAGACCAAAGTCCTGGGCACAGTTGCAAAAGGCCGTTATGCCGGCTGGCGAAGGTCCGTCAAAGACACCCCACCCCGCGCGTGCTTCTCGGTCTGGTGAGAAACCGGTGTTCCTCCCCCTATGTAGCTCTCAATGGGTGGTTCCGCGCAATTATTGAGCTTTTTCTGATGGTGGAACGAGTCGGAGAGAAGGCGAATGTACAAGTTTGAGGCAGGATTCAAGGGCCAGAGGCCTGATCGACGAAGAGGGGAAGGGGGAATAGGGATTGGTTGGTGCCGAGGGTGTCCCTATTCCCTAGTCGGATGACAGTTGACCGATGGACGGCGACAAGCGACAGACGGCAGGCGATGCCGGTTTGCTTATCGTAAGGTACTTCCCGTCGAGTGGGAAGTTGAAGGGTAGCTAGTTGACGTTGTGTGACTGGAACACAAGAAGCTGGAGAGCTTGGAGCTCGAGGTGACCGTGTAGCGTAGGCTTGGAACCGTGACTGTCTCTGGGTGCAATGCAGTGCACTTAAAGTTGTCGTGCGAGTGTGAAGCTTGCCCGGGTTGGTTGCGGGGTTCGACGATGAATGCAGTGGTGAGGTGTGCTAGCAATGCACTGTTCCGTCGGGGACTGCTGTTGGAACTGATGGTGGCTTGTGAAGGCACAAGTGTACAAGTGCTCGGAGTGTACAGAGGCGTGCAATAGCTGGTGGTGTGAGAGTGCAATTGGAGAGAGAAGAGGAGGGAGTGGAAAGTTGGAGTTGTTGCAGAGACGGAATTCAAGACCGGGGGTTCGGAGTCACGATGCTACGGAAAATGGAGCTACGGCGGGTACTTCCACGCATCGTGACCGCTTGCTGGGTCCCGGTCCGGCAGTCCTCGGGCGCGTTTTGCTGTTGGACCATTTCTCTCGGCTGAGTCGCAGTGGAAACAAACGCAGTCACGATATCGATGTACATAACGATGGGGAACTCCACTATAATGACGGATGATATTCTTTCTGGTGCTGCCTTCGTTTTTTCCTTCCTTCGGAACCCCGAATGGAAGTTGGTGACAGCCCCTCCAAGTCTCTTAACACTGTTGCCCGAAATCTGAGGTAAAGCTCTCGCATGTACTCTGTAATGCAACTGGCGCGGGGTTTCACTTTACCGGTACCTCAAGATGCTGCTTGAACCGCTTCAAACTTTGTTTTTTTTTTTCCACAATATGACGGATGTGACCGATCTGGCCTGCTTCTTGTGGGGCCACGATCCCCGTGCCTTCAAAAGGCGTCTCATTTCCGTTCATCTTTGCAGTCGACAATCGCCCATATCAGTGCGACTACAGCAGTCGCCATCAATAATTCGCTCTGGAGATCTCCAGTGCCAAAGCAATCTCGAACCGTCGGTAAATGGGATCGGCCTTAAAAGTCTCAATCCCAGCCAACATCATACCGTCACTGATGCAGCACCGCTTGCCTGAAACAGGGACAAGCGCATGTTATCTCGCCACCGACGTTCGATCGTGGTTCGTTATAGAAACAAAAGGGGCCCTTTCCGGGTTTCCTCTTTGTTGCTGCTAATCATCAGAAGCGGATATGTTGTTGTACACGTTTTTCAGAAAAGGAGTCCATGGTTTCACAATCTAATCTCAAAGGTAGAACGGAGGTAGGCCGGTCATGTCTTGGCTCTCATCAGCAGCCCCGAGGCACAACCCGCCTAGAACGGAAACCGCGCCACAAGGTGGCATGGCGGAGAAGTTTAGCATGAACTAGTATTTGTAGCCGCTTCCCGCATGCAATGCTTGATCCCGTTGTTGGGTATTTTGACCCTTATATCTGTTGTGTACGTGCCGCAACCCTTCCTCGCGCATCTGTTCTCCCAATGTTCTAGTTGTTGACCTTCCCTTTTTTGGTTGACAGCCCGCAGTCCACCATCATCCGAAGCCCAGAAGTTGCTACTCGGAAGAGCATTGTGAGCATCGACGGCGTCCTCTTGGGCCTCACTTGTGGGACATGGCTGGCCACCCCAATGACAAGACCGCAAACCACCATTTACACCACTATCATCAAAAATCAAATGCGGAGAAACCTGGGGAAAGATCCGACGGTGTGCAAAAGTGTCTCCAATTTGTGGAGTAATCACGACAATTGGAGCCGACTCATCTGACTCGGTTTGGCCCCTTGTGATCGCCTCCTTTTTCCCGTCCGTGGATCTGCTTGAAGGGGGCATGCCAGATATCGCATACAAAATGCTGGCACTGAGGCCGGCTTCGAGCCGCTCCTGGCCACTGTTGCCCGGACTTCGGACACTTGTTTACCGTAAACACAAGTTCATTGTATCGTTCAACATGGCGATTGTCTTGTCAAAATGCTCGTACTCCTTTTCATACACTGGATCCTTAAGCGCTCTCCTGTTGGGTTCCTTCTCTTCAGCATTTGCACTTCAACCTCTTCGCCTCTTCTATTTGACTTACTGCTGGGACTTGGAAAGTGTCTGCGCCCTGATCCTCCATGGCCCGGTGCTTTTGTTCTGGATATACCTAACGTGTACCAGATTTTTGATGATTTTGTGCTCCACCCCGACATACGTCGCGGCCGACTCGAGAAACCACAACGTTGACTTGACCCTCGAGGGCTCAAAAGTGCCATTCTTATCGCGGAAGGCTGCACGGAGAGTGTCTCGAACCACAAAGCGCGCCGGCTTGGAGAACTGCACGGCCCTCAACGACCATCGTAGAAGATGTCGGTAGGCGTGGACGAGCTCCTGGTTCGACATGATATTGGGTGTAACGGGTGTTGAAATCCTGATGGGATGCAACCAACGGCTATGTAATCATCAAGCCAATCGATACTTGGGGGGTTCTGGGCGCCAAGGCTTCCTTTCCCCCCTCTTTTTACCCTCTAAAGAGGGGGCGCGGAAAATTTGGGACAGCATTTTAATCTGGGACAGTGCCCGAAATAACCTATGCAGATTTGCCTATTAACGCCCTGTAAAATCGCTCATTTGCATTGTGAATTTCGTACAACAACGACGCCAACAATAATGTATTTAATTACTATTTTTCGTCGCATTACCTTATAAAACTATAAATCAATAAGACTTTTATATATCTATAAATTAATCGAATCGCTAATTAACTTACTAGTACTAATACCCATAAATTACTCCCTCGTCCCCTACGCCGGTGTAGCTACCGCCTAGTAATATATTAACGTACGCTATCGATATTATTCTCTAAAATTTAACAATAGTAATAGGAAGCCGCCCTCAATAAAGGATATTATACGTATAATTAGGGAGTTTTGTAATTCGATCGACCGTTATACGAAATCGCTACGGGAGACTAGTAAACTAGTTATATTATTACAGCTACGGGGGCGCCTATAATCGTTAACCTTTATTAAAGAAAAAACTATTATCGTATATATAATATTCTATTTTAAAGGAAGATTCTCTATATTATAATCGATAGTAATACGTACTATAAATCAGTTATAGTCGATAAGGGTAAGCCTACTATCGACTAAATTTAATAGGCGTTAGTTTACGAAGTTTATTATTAATTATCTTAAATTACGTTCGACGATGTATTGCGCTATAAATTTCAAATATTACTTTTAGGAATTGAATACTAAATTTATAAACGATTAATTTAATAAATATAAAAATATCGCCGCTACTATCCCTCCTTATAACCGTTGGAATAATAATAAATATAGCGCCCGTATTAACTACATATTAAATAGTCGTATAAAAATTATTATATTAAAGGAGCTAGGGGATAAGAGGAAGGTTAGTATAAAATACCCTTTAATTAAGTAAAATCCCTTCTAATTGTATAATTTACCCTCTACTATCTGTTATACTAATTATTAAGTTAATTAGAAATATCTAATTTAACCAATAGGGAATTATATACTTTAATCGCTAGAATAAATACCACTAGGTATTATATCCCCATCTACTTTATTTTTAAAACCAACTTAATAGAAGAGTTTATTAACAACGAGCTTCCTAGTAATATATATTTTATAAAATCACCGATTGGTTTTTTAAATATAAAGCTTACCCTTAATTGGTTAAAGTACTTCAATCTATATAACTTTAAAATATTACCGACCTTTAAAAAAATAAAGTATAGTTTTATAGACTAGTTCGGTTGTAATTAATATAAATATAATATTAACAGTCGCTAATTAGAGGATTATACTACTAATATTAGTAAAAAACAACTCCCTAATACAGACCCTATATATCGACTGCTTATAATTAATAGGTTTAATAACCATTACAATATAGTAATCAAGTAATATATTAAAGTATTTAATATTTAAATCCTTACTTTACCGCTATATTCTACCCATATTATACAACCGTTTAATATAAGAGTCTTCTCTTTATTTAAATCCTATTACTAGAAAGCTCTTTATAAATTCGTATAGTAAGGGGAATATAACTTCAACCGTACAACATTCATTAGAGAACTTAATAAAATTATTACTAATAATTTTATAATTTATAATATTATAAATAAATTTAAGGATATTAGTCTTTAGTTAATTAATAAATAAAGGATATTATTATAGATAAAAATTAAGTAGCGCTCTTTTAAATTCAACCCTATCTATCCCTCTATAATACTGTATAAAGACCGTTTTAAAAAGACTATTAAAGTTATTAATTATATTACTAACTATTATTCTTATACGTTCAATTCCCTAATACGGATTAATTACCCTTATATACTCCAAATTATTCGAGAGGCAATTCTCAACTATAATAAAATTCAAGAATATTACTAGTATAATTACGAAAGAAAAGCCAATTTCGACCGTCGAATAAGGAGGAGAATATATAAGATTCCTAATAATAATTTATCTCTATTACTTTCAAAAAATAAATTTAATACTAAAGTAATAGAAAGAATTTAACGAGAAATATAAAACGAAATAAAATATTAAAAGCGAATTATAAAGAAGATTAATAGCGTTATACAAAAGCAATTTAAAAACTAATAGAGGAAGGATATAAAGGGTAGTAAGTTAAAGAAGGTTATATAAACTACGTAGTTTATCACGGGCAAAGGGTAGGTAGTAGATATAATTATACGTAATTACACGAAGGAGAAAGGAAGAGAAGTACAGCCGAATGCCCAGAAGGCTAGCCTTATAAAGGCAATCGCCGGCGGGTCTAACAGACCCGCGGCAGGTAGCGTTCTAACCAATCAACTGCCGGCAATAATCGGCTTGCCGGCGGTAATAACAACGTACAGCAATTTTAAAAACTACTATACACTAGCACTAGGTATAAGGTACATAGACTAACCCTATAATACTTCCCTAGATTAAAAGAAGCTATATAGCTAACTAATATTATATAAAATAATAGAAATCCTTATTAAATAAACGGTCTACTTTTAAAAAAATCCTTATTACCGCTAGTAATTATCGTTATAACCTCCACCGTAGAATTAGAGCCTCCTACTCTACCTCCTTCTCCTTCTCCTTCCGCTTTTTCTCCACCGCTACCCAAGCCGATAGGTATAATGCTTCCGGATATTCGTTATAGAAGGCCCGTACTATATTAGGGGCTATAGATATATTAATATACGGTTGCTATAATGGTATATATGGAGGTACCTAAACTATAAAATATTTCTAATAGCCCTTATTATTCTTTCGGTATCCGTTTATCCTCTTGAATTTATATTTAATAGAATCCTCCCTATTATCGGTCTTCTTTATAGTCTAATTATAGTTAGTGCGAATATTCTATTCCTTTAAATTTATTTATCTTAAAAAACCCTCTTTATTCTATAATTTAATTTTACTAACGTAGAACGTTGGGCTATACTTTATATTAATTAGAAATTTAAATATTATTTAATAATTATTTACTTTAAGGATTTCGAAAGGACTTTCGAAGAGAAGTGTAAGCTTAGCGTAGGGGCGGCTAATATTAAGGTTCTTAATATTAAAAAGGACTTCATTTCTTGCCTTATATTTTAGGGCGTCCGACCGTTGAATATTTATATTACCTTCGTAATACTATTGTATTTAATAGGCTTGATTAGTAATAAAATTTAAAATTCTTTTAAAACGGTCGGCTAATTCGTTAATTTTAAAGTATTTTATTTATTATATTATTAATATTTTTAATAAGTATAGTTTTGCCGGTTCGATACCTATATAAGAATAAAATCTATAGTTAGTAAAGAAGGGGGAGATACTAATAGTCTTAGATATTAAATTATTACTAATAAATTCCGCAATCAGTAATTAATCTACCTAATTATTTTAAGCTTAATTAATATAAAAACGCAAATATTTTTCTATTTCTATATTAATATACTTAATTTAATTATTAATAGTAGGGTAGAAATTAGAGGAAGGTTTAAGGGTAACCTATAATTATAATAATAAAGCTTTTTAGAATTGCGAAATAAATTAAGTACTATAATTAGAAATAATAGAATTTAATAGACTATAAATACTATAGACCTTCTTAATAAAATACTCTACTAATTTTTCTACTATTAAACTAACGGTAAGAATATAATACCTTATTTTAATTAGGCGGTTAATAATAATTATAATGTACTTGAATTTTTGCCCGCGGTATAAGTATAGATTTAATAGAGTAATATAATTAATAAAAATATCCTTCTATAGTACAAACAGTACTATTAGCGGTTTTAGAAAACTATAGGGAGCGTATTATAATAGCTTAGATTTAATGTATATTAAATACGCCTTATAATATAATTTAACGGTAGCGTATATCCCTAACTAAAAGAAGGACTACAATAGTAATAAATAGGTCTTTTTACGGCCCGAGTATCCGGCCGATAGCGAATTGTAAATGTAGCAAAGGAGTAAAAAGTGAAATTCTATATTAATAAGGTCGACGAGGATAGTATTATAAAAGTACGTCCGTCCTTAGATCGTTCGGTATTTAATAAATAAGACCTTCTTTATATAGTCTTTAATTTCTTTAAACTATATTCGATAATTGGGATTAGATAAATAAACGACGATATTTTATAAAATAGTCGACTTTTTATAACCTTCTATTACTAAATTATCTATCGACCTTTCATTTAGAATTTCTAATTTATAAATATATTCGGTACCGACGGGGACCTCTTCGCCTCCGTCTTTTAAAATAAAAATTCTATTAACGAAAATATTATAATCGAATAAAACTTTATTTTTAATTAATAATTATTTATTAATTTCGTTTTTAAATAAGTCCTTTAGCTTCTTATTTAGTACGTTAGGATATATTTATAGTAACCCGGGGCGATATTTAATAGTAAAATTAAAACGAGAGAGAAAATAAAATTAACATATATAATAAGGAATAAATTATTTATTAATTATAAAAGTCTTCAAACTTTTATAGTCGGTTAAAATTTCGAAAGGCTCTTAGGCTCCTTCTAATTCGGGGCGCCACTCTTTAAAAGCTTTAATAATAATTAATAATTCCTTATTATAAATATTGTAATTATATTTAACCGAGGAGTGCTGCTAATTAAAATAGGCGACCGGGTATAAAATACCCTCCTTATTATATTAGGATAGAGTACTACCGTAAACCTAATTCGAAACATCTATTTCAATAACGGTCTATTTCGATTAATTATAGATCCGGAGTATTAAACTACTATTAAAAACCTTCTTAAGAACCGCAAAAGACTTTTAATAATAGTCGGTTTATTATTATTCTACCGACTTCTTTATTAATTTATATAATAGACCCGCGATAATTGAAAA